TTCAGAGCATAGAAGATAGAAATAGGATGGTTGCTCAATTTTTTTCTAAAGGATGGTTTATATAATATATTAAGATTTGTTGTGAATCGCGATATCTTCCTAAAAAGTTCTGTGCTCGTTTCCTTGCACTGAACTAGGTGATTTATTATGAATATCCAAAGTTGAGCTTGAAAAATATCCTAAACTCTCAAAACCACTTCAACATAGTTCTCATGCTAGGTTGCTTCTGAGTTTTTGTTGATCTCAAGATCTGTAACCTCTCCGTTGCCTCGCAGATAAGCTGTAACCTCTCCTCTGCCTCGCGTAGCTAATCTTTTCTGTGTCCTTCCTTGGTCTCTAGGATGAAGATGCTCTCCACTTCTTTTATAATTAATATCGGGTAACTTGATAGTCTGTAAACATACAGTATGTTGTACATTATTAATTATCTATGTTTGTAAACTTCTACAAAAACCCCATTGTTCATTTGAACTGCGCTTCAAATGAAAACGTAGCATGATTAGCTTATTAATGTGATATATATAATGGCGGACATCTTAACTGCGCCAATTTCAACTGTTTTAATACATAACATGATTGCATTAATCATGTGATATAGATAACAACGTAGAAATTGTAACTACGTACGACTATTAACTTTAACTTTTAATATGAAAACCTCAAATACATCAGATAATATAGAAACTACGCTTTGATTACAGTGTTGAGAGAAATTTGGTATTTGTTGAAACATACAAGTGGAGATCATGCCTGGATATTAGGCATTGATCGATTAATTGCTAGTGTCCGTGTTGACATCCATAGCTAATGAGATCGCGCCCATTGGTAGTGGCGTTAATAGTTCACGGGAGTGTAGCCATGTGGATCGTGTCCTGGTTGTGGCATTGATCAATTAATTGTTTGTGTCCATGTTGACATTGATAGTTAAAGAGATCACGCCCAGTGATAGTGGCGTTGATAGTTTACTGGTTGTAGCCATGTGGATCGTGTCCTTGTTAATATTCATAACAGACGGGTTGTACCTGGACTGATACAGTTCCAGACAAAGTTTTAAGAGTACGGCATTTACTACACTTTCACCTACTAATCTTGACACTCTGAGTTTGGGGTAGGTCATGATAAAGGTGAGGAATAAAGCTCATTAACAATGAGCTTTTGAACTCTGTCTAACAAATATCATTTAGACCTCAGTTGTCAAGACTCCGATTTCAACAGAAGCTGGAGGCTTGGTTTGAGCTATCCTACCTCTGTCAGTCTCTCAGAGTAGGATCTCTCTCTACATATGCAAGACTCTGATCTCAAGGGAAGCTGAGTGTTCCTGTATCTCTGGACGCTTGGTTTGAGTTCTCTGCTACCTTTGTCAGTCTATCAGAGTAGTTTCTCTCGCTACGTATACAAGATCTTCAACAACCATGACTTGGTTCTTCTGGTCCCCTCCGATACCTCCGACAAAAGGACCCTGAACAGGATTTGCTACAAGAAGTACCCTCAAAAATCAATTTGAGCACCATCTAGGAAGGATGTAGCACTTGAGTGAGATGAAGCACACGCGAATACTTCATGGTTTTCTACCTTGAACTTCATACTTTCTGTCACGAGAATTGGGTCAGGTTTAATTGGGGCTTGGGCCATTCTCCCTTTCAGGAACCACTGTGTGTAGTCTCCTTCTTCTGCTCCCCTGGCTCCGGGGTTGGCAGGGTTTGGGATATCCATACTAAATAATACATAACTATTTACTATCAAAGGTAACAACATTCGTGCTGTCGTTATAGTCCTTACAAATTTCTAGAAAACAACCCATTTGAATAAGGACTGAAGGTAAAAAGCCAAGATTGAATGGAATAATAAAACCCTCACTGGTTCACAACAATTGAGATAGAGAGAGAGATAGAGAGATGAGTCTGATATTTCTAATATTAAAGATCCATGTTCACTCTGAAGAAAGATCAAGGTTTGATGGTTCAAATCTACATAATGGAGAAGAATATACATTTTCCAAGTATTCAAGTTCAAATAAGTGGAAATTCGGAAACTTTTCCCATATACACTTTAAATTTATAAAATGAGATCCCACCATTGTAATCGAAATATTTTGGGTTAAGAACAAGAATAAAGAAAATACCTGGAGAATTACATCCCTGCTGAGATCAAAGGGAATTTAAAAGTCATTGACGTTTTTCTATAAAAAAAAATAAGAAGATTGTTAGAGCTAAGTACTTTTAAAGCTTTAAAGCTAGAAAAAAAATACGATTTCTTTCAAATAATTAACAGTTAAATAGTAAGGGTACAGTTGTGAATCAGGCATAACCCCTCTTTAAATTCTACATAAATACATAATTTTGATACAGTGAAACCCTTAATAACGAATACATCGGAAGAATTTATCAAATGTCGTCTTAATAATTTTTCAATGAGTTTTATACTATATTACGTTAATTTCAGAATTTGCGAAAATAGATAAATAGCCATGAATATGCGGGAACAGTTTCAAAGAGTTCCATATAATCATTTAATTAAAAAACTAAATATCTGCAACATTCCATTATCAGAAAGTAAAGAATGCGACATTCGATGAATTCTTTCGATGTATTCGTTATTAAGGGTTTCACTGTAGTTTATTATCATTATCAGTATTGTCATCACTATCATTATTGTCATCACTATAATTATTGTTATCAGTATCATTATTGTTATCATTATCATTATAGTTATCATTATCATTATTGTTATCATTATCATTATTATTATTATTATCATTATTGTTATCTTTATCATGATTGTTATCATTATCATTATTGTCATCACTATAATTATTGTTATCAGTATCATTATTGTTATCAGTATCATTATAATTATCATTATTATGATTGTTAGCATTATCATTATCATTATTGTAATCATTACCGTTATTGTTATCATTATCATTATTATGTTAATTATCATTATTGTTATCATTGTCATTATCATTATCGGTATCATTATCATTATCGGTATCATTATCATTATCAGTTACATATCATTAACAAATTTATTATCATCACTATTATTCATTTCATATCTTTATTAACTACAAAGCATGAGATATTACAAAAAAGAAATCACAATTTACTATGCAGTTTGGACCCGCCTAACCAGGGTTGGTTGTTTTGAGTGGATGGCCCTAAGTTAGTTAATGAATATAATTGGTTACACACATCAAATTATGTTTTTGCATAGGTAAGGAGTTGATTGGAAGGAAGGAGATTGTCAGGTGATCTGTGGCAGGGTGAGATCAGAGGGATTAATGTAGAGATAAATTAAAATACAGGGTGTTAAGCATGGTGGATACACAATCACAAATAAGCCTAATAAAGTTTCATTTTTTTTTTTTTGGTTAGGTTTTTTTTCATTTAAACCTCTCAGAATTCTTAAGATAAATATTGATTACTCTTTGTTTAAATATTTTTGCAGATTTTGTTTCTTTAAGGTCAATTTCAATTGCATTCCACATTTTAGGAAACATTGCGGACGGAAAGCTTTCTAGATTTTTTGTTTAAAACCCGTTTTAATATATATGATTTTGTTCTTTTCGGTTCAGCTAAAGACTTAAACATATTTTGGGAGGAAGAGGGAAGGTTATTATTAAAGTATCCATGCATAAATGTCAGAACACTAAGTTTGCATGTATCATCAAGATTAAGTACTTTCAGTTTTGAAAATGGATTAACCGCTCTGGTTGCCTTATTTTCCAAAAAGATCTGATTTTTTGCAGTTTAGAGTTAGTAACCCCTCCACGTACAAGTAACAATTCCATATTCAATATTATAAGGCCTTACAAAGAGAGTTATAAACAAGTAGACGAATGGTAAGATATTCTTAATTTGAGACAAAGCAAAGATTGAGCTGCAATTTTTTTCGAGATATGTTCAATTTGAAAATCCCAGTTTAAAAATTCGTCAAGTTTAAGTCCAACAAATTTGAAATATTTGTTCATTGCCAAGTGTATGCGTCGTATACGTCATTGGTCAGAAGCCTACTTTAATATGCAATTGGTATAAATGGTATTGAAAGGAGAAGAAAAATGCGGTTGAAATCATTTAGTTCACAGAATAATAATAAAATATGAAAAAAATAATATAAATTTAAAAAAATTACACATACAATTATATCTTACATACAGCATATAATATATGTACATATACAATAATAAATAAAATAATTATAATAATAAAATAATAATGAGCATATTCTAAATATGATTCTATTTCTTTTATAAATTGAAAACTATTTATATGTTTAATTTTCCCATAAAAATGCGGAATATCTAACAAAGCTACAATTAATAGTTAAATTTACGAAGACGATATTTATGTCTGATCATTTGCCGCAACAACTTCCCTATTCAGTTTTAGTCAGAAATAATAACAAACTTTTCACAATGCACACAGAACCTAGCGTTAATCTGTTATTCAAATACGTTTTGTAATTCTGACTCGTATATTATATGTCTCGTCATTTTTGTACGTTAACATTTAAGACCCCTGCACAAGTGCGTATAGAAATAAACGTTTATCAATCAATCATCAAATACGAAGATTTAAATTTCTTATATTGTGATTAATATTTATTATGTATTATTTAACAAAATGTAGCTTTAATGCGTCATATTTACTATTGTTTCGGTAATTTCCTAGAGAGCAATTTTTGGACCCCCCCGCAGCGCTCGGCCCAGAGAGTGTCTTAACTTAACCTACCCCGTGGCCGCAGCGCTCGGCCCCCTAGCCTGTCCTAGCCGCAGCGCTCGGCCCAGAAAGTGTCTTAACCTAACCTAACCCTAAATAATGCTAAATAAATACTAATTTGGTCATGTTCAAAATTGATAGGAGGGGGGGGGGGGGTCCAAAAATCGTTCAATAGGACAGACCCATTGTCTCCGAGCGTCCATTTAACAGTTCTACATTAAGCATTTCTTCACTTGTTAGGCTATAAATCTCATTTTACCCCTTTAAAAATGATAATTCATAAAGTATATTATTTTCAGAATTAGAATAAGCTAGTATGGCCTGGGATCAGGATTTTGAGAAATACGACCTGGCTGATATTAGGCTTCTTCTTAAGGTATAGGTTAGCAGGTGGGGGAGGGGGGAGGCAAGCCGCACCCGTTTAGCCTCCATCCCGCAATTTACTCGCAAACATAGAGTTGCGGCAACGCAATCTTACGTAGCGCTTCCTTACCCGCACTCCTATATCCTCCGGGAAAATGTCTTGCGGTTTTCTCCTAAATCCATTGAATTAAATTTATATTTCAGGATTGTCTTGCCTCTGATTCTGTTTTATGTTTGTGCTCCAGGGTTCTTCTTCATGATGAATACCTTCTAAACGCAGGTTTGTTGTCAAACTTAATATTGAGAGCTTCTACACATTTTCCACGATTTGTTTATATTATAGTTAATTAGCTTAGCTCCTTTGAGCCGATTTATATTAGTTCCGTCCCAAAAATAAAGAATAAAGAGCGTCCTCTGATATCCTACAGTGATGGTGAAAATTCTGTGGATGTATATTTTATATTCATCTCGAAGGACGGGAAGGAGGCTGGCGTCCTCCTGAGTCCTCTGGTAGTCATGTTAACAAGTCCCCAGGCCTTAGTGGGATAAACGGAGCTAAGCTCTAACGTCTATCCTGTATAAGATCTTGGAGCGTACTGCTCCTATTCTCCAGGGTTTACTCAGCTTAGATTCAGATAAAGGGTTTAGTATCTGGTCATATTCTAAATATTACACCATGCTTTAAACACTACAATGTTCAAAAATAAATTCAGAAATATGGTTTTGTATTTCTGCAAAAATTATTTCACCCCCCATTATAAACATAAAAACAAATTTCCCCCCAATATGTTTGCTATGTTTGTTTAACTTTTTGGTTTTTTGTTTGTTTGTTGAATTGTAGATAATGAATGCATTTTTGTGTAAAATTATCACTAAAGGTCGAAAAGACAGTTAATGTTCACTTTTTCATTCCCCCCCAGATCATTCAAAATATATTCATTATTAAGGAATGAAGGGGAAAGTTATAGAAGAACCTGAACCTGAACCTAATGATGATACCGATCATGATGCTTCTACAAAAAATGAAGATGTTGCCCAAGAAGACAAAGACGAACATAGTGCAGATGGCGGAGAGAGTGAAAAGTATCCCGAAAAAAAGAAAGTCAGTTTTCAGGTAGATGACTTTAAAAACTTGGCTTATTAATTGATTGATTTATTGATTTATTTTTTACTTATTTATGGATTTATTTATTTATTTATTTATTTATTTATTTATTTATTTATTTCAAGGTGGAGGTTGAACCTAAGCTCCTGGATGCAGTTGATATTGATCTTGGTCCTTCCCTACAGCTCAGCAGTTACCCAGATACAGAACAATCCAGGTTAATACTGGTTTCATCCACTTATTGTAGAATCGTGATTTAAATAAACGTTTTTCCCTTTAATTTGATACTTTTCCTCCAAAGTTGTAAATTCAAAAGTTAAATTTCTTACTAAAGAAATATGTTTTTTTCTCTTCCAAAGTTTAAATTAATAATACGTTTAATAATTCGTAAAAGCTGTAAAAAATACCTTAAAGTTGCAAAAACCGGCATTTGCACAAACTTATTTTTCTTAAATATCTCCTTTTATTTTGCAGATCTGATTACGTTGTAGTGGAACAAGTGTTTGAGGAGCCAACAGAGGAATATGATATTGCTTTTAAAGAAGATCTCATCAAGGTAAATAATTGATTTTCCTGAAAACTCCATGTTTATTTTTAACATATTAATTATTTACAACTACTTTACATGCTAGTTAAGTGAATTTTGCTTTACCAAGGGTTCCCAGGACCAATCTTGCTTAGAAAACATTCAGAGCTCCGCTAATAACCTTTTTTACTCAATTACTTAATTTACTTAATTTACTTAGTTGCCCCAAGGGACGTTAAGTTACTTGACCTTCAGGGAATCATAGGTCTGTAATGTTGGTCAAAAGGCGGTAAAATAATGTACAATCATTCAAAATTTGTGGGAATTTTTTTTACTGAGTTTACATCAGATTTAGATTTTTCAATTTTTACCTTAATATTACCTTTAGATGAAAGAACTAGGATTACCCCTTGGTTTCAAAAATATACCAGCTACGGAGCTAGAGGACCCTCTAGAAGGAGGAGGAGGAGTGGTAGGAGGAGGAGGAGAAGGGAAGACCAGAAAGAAGAAAAGAACAAGGGGGAGAAAGAAAGTTATTACAAAAGATCTGGCACAGGTTTATACATGTCTAAAAATTCTTAGACTTAAAGGGACTGTGAGCGTAACTTTAAGTGACCCTTTTTGCAAAGATGGCATTGTCCGAATCACAATGGTAACCTTGGAACTTTCATCTGATCAATAATGTGGGAGGTGTCATCGTTGTGTGTGGATTAAAAGTGTTAATTTCTGAAATTTCCTTATTGTTTATTGTAGTTAAACATTGATACATAATTTATGCGGCGTGTTCAGACAAAGCTTTACAGATTAACGTTCTGAATTTGGCATTGCCATCTTTGCATGGAGGGTCACTTGAAATTATACTTACAGTCCCTTTCAAATTATAGATACAATTTTCCTGGTGTTTACTTTTTTGTTTAAGGAGTTTGATGAAGGATGGTGGGCGGAGCATGGAAATGAATCTATCATGAAGGTTTGGACGGAGAGATATGGAGAGCAAATGGATGGAGGCGAGGAGGGGAAGGTATCATCCAACCCGGAGATAGACGTTTCTAAACAGGACGGAGACAACTCCTCTGCCTGGGGAGGATTTAACAACACAGAGTCAAGTTCAGGTTGGGAAACTCAAGTAAAAGAGCAGAGTTGTGAATCAACTGAACCGAGTTCGGGTTGGGGTCAGAGTACAGCTAATGAAGAACAGAATTCAGGAGGAGGTTGGGGTCAGGGTGAACCTAAGGAAGAACAGAGTTCAGGAGGAGGTTGGGGTCAAGGTGCACCCAATGGAGAACAGATTTCAGGAGGAAGTTGGGGTCAGGGTGTACCTAAAGAAAAACAGAGTTCAAGAGGAGGTTGGGGTCAGGGTGTACCTAAAAAAGAAGAGAATTCAGGAGGAGGTTGGGGTCAGGGTGGACCTAAAGAAGAACAGAGTTCAAGAGGAGGTTGGGGTCAGGGTGTACCTAAAGAAGAAGAGAATTCAGGAGGAGGTTGGGGTCAGGGTGGACCTAAAGAAGAACAGAGTTCAGCAGGAGGTTGGGGTCCGGGTGAACCTAAAGGAGAACAGAGTTCAGGAGAAGGTTGGGGTCAGGGAGCACCTAAGGGAGAACCGAATTCAGGAGTAGGTGCGGGTCATGGTGGACCTAAAGAAGAACAGAATTCAGAAGGAGGTTGGGGCCAAGGATTCGTAAAAGAAAAGTCTTCAGGAATTGGTTGGGGCCAGCAAGAGCCTAAGGAATTAAGCCCAATGGGAGAAGGTTGGGGCCAAGTAGAGACTAAAGAATTGAGTCCTGGAGAAGGTTGGGGCCAGGGAGGTTTACTAGAACAAGGTTCAGGATCAGGATGGAATGAGAGCCAAGGAGGTGAACATCAGAAAGATTGGGACAGGTAAATTATAAACATATTTAATTTTTTTTGAAATAATGTTCGTTCAGGAAAGCATTTACATAAACCCGATATATTAGTTCAACCCATTTATGGCTAATGTTGAGCCGTTAAAAGAATTTGATAACAAATATATCATTTTTCAGATTGTGGATCGACGTGAGTAACGAGGTTTATCGGATTGAATTGAATAAGTGGGTTGAGATCAGGGAATCCACGGAGATGAAGGAGAAGGAGACAAAGGTGATTATGTTGATGTTATTGTTGATGTTGATGTTGATGTTGATGTTGATGTTGATGTTGATGTTGATGTTGATGTTGATGTTGATGTTGATGTTGATGTTGATGTTGATGTTGATGTTGATGTTGATGTTGATGTTGATGTTGATGTTGATGTTGATGTTTAGTTACTAGAAAGCAGACCCTGGAAACCAGAAGAGAACATGAAAAACCTAAACCTGAACAAGGTACCATAGTTAAACAAATATATCTATATTTTTTCGTTACTATTTTTCATAAAATTTCCAACAGATCGAAAAAACATTTTTTTTGGGGGGGGGGGAATACCTTCTTTCTGATTGGTTGAATTCTTACGTCTGGATACAGGGGCTAGATTTAATGAATATGAGAAGAAGTTGATATACGTAAACTGGATTAAACCACAAGAAAAGTAGTTGAACTGGCTGGACGTGGTTCAACTACTTCTCGCTATTCACTTTATCTGGTCCTAGTTCCTCGATTACGAGAAAAATCATTAGCCATGAAGGCTTTTGAATATATTCCTTGTCAACAGTTGCGCTTTTGAGACTTACCCAAGCAATGTTTTAACCAAAAGGACGATCAAATTTAAAAAAATTGTTTTTGGTTTTGAATATAATTTAAATAACGTAGTGGTGCAGTGTCAGAATTAATTTTTTTCCAGACCAAAGTAATTGTTTTATTTTTATAGTATCAATAAGTTAAATGAAAAAACTCACCAGTTGTAGTCTAACTTTTTAGTTAGACTTTAACTGACTTTACACCCGACCCTTCAAAAAGAAGCTTTGGTAGAATTTGAAAAATAAGTTCATTTGAAGTTCTGAATAAAAACATTGAATAATTTACTGAAGGAGCATAGTGAGACTGGGCAGAATCCTTGTAGTGGACCAAGATGGAGATCTCAACGAGAAATATCAGGGTTGGGATCCTTTCTCCAGCAGCTCAAGGAAACAGGACTGGAGAACCACCAGGAGAACAGGTAACTGAAGGAAACAGGACTGGAAAACAAAGAACAGGTAACGTAAGGAGTCAGGACTAGAGAACAACTAGGAGAACAGGTAACTCATAGAAACAGGACTAGAAAACAACCAGGAGAACAGGTAACTTAAGGAAATAGGACTAGGAAACAACCAGGAGAACAGGTAACTTAAGGAAATAGGACTAGAAAGCAACCAGGAGAACAGGTAACTTAAGGAAACAGGACTAAAAAACAACTAGGAGAAAAGGTAACTTAAGGAAACCTAACTAGAGAACCACCCGGAGAACATAGATTAATTTCAGTATCATGTAGTGCTTCAAAACTATTTCTAAATGTTGTAGAAAAACACCAATAAGTACTTTAAAAGTCTTTTTTCTGATAGCACAATATTGATTTGATTATATTTCAGCAAATTTTCAGTTTATACTGTTAAACTCTAGATTAAAGTTTCATGAAAGAAAGAAAGATTTTAAACTCAAATTAAAAGATTTTAAAAAAGACGATAAAAACTCATACATACAAAAAATTTTGATAATGATGTTTATAACTAGGAAAATATATAAAAAATTTACTTTCCAAATATAGAGACTCTGAAACTGGAAATGATGGGACGTCTGCGCAGGGGAAAGAAGGAAAAAAAGAAGAAGAAACTCGAGAAAGAGAAACCGACAAAAACGGAAAGGCTGGTGAACGAAATGGAAATGATAGAGGAAATAGAAGAGAAGGAGAAGAAGGAAGTAGTGGAGGAGGTGGAGGAGGTGGAGAAGGTGGGGGAGGTGGAGGAAAAGAAAATGACAAAGGAAAGGACAAAGAAGATGACAGTGATGATGAACCTCCTGAGGAAATAATGAACGAGAAGAAAAGACGGAAAATGGAGGATGAGGAAGATGAGGAGGAAGAGGAGCAGGATGAAGAGAACATTAACCCAGGTATTATTTAGTTTTTTTCTTAATAGATTATGCGACTTTCATGAATTGATTTTGGCAAGGTTTAAAAATGCAATAAAAACTCTCATTGGTTTTTGAGGCACTGAGATGGGTGAGTTCAAGTTAAACCTGATTTATAAGTTTCCAACCTAGGTTTGTCCCAGGCAGCTCGAGCCTTTAATCTCTTAGGATATGTATTTGAAACAGAAGTCGGTGAAAGATTCCCTGATTCACCTCCGGTTAGGTAACATGCAGTTTATTTAGCAGTTTCAATAATTCGATTGAAATCTCTCTTGATTCATTAATAGATTAATCGATATCTAATATTGTTGATTGAACCTAACTGGCAGATTATAAATATATTTAAATTCGGTGATGGTGATGGACCAAACTCTGTAGAGTAAAAAAGTAGATGTTAGTTCCACATTTATTGAAAATATATTTCGGTCTGGGTTGACCCTCGTCAGTTCTTGAGATTGTTTCTTCACAAAGATTAAAAACAATATAAATATAATATATAAATAAAATAAATATAATATAAATATATTGATCGATTGATTGAGATCAACTGGCCAATTTTAAAGTTGATTAATCGATTTATTGATTGATTAATTGATAGAGATTATCTGGTTGATTAAAAATTGAATCATTTATTGATTGACGATTTAATTGATTGGTTGACTGATTAATTTATTGATTAATTGATAAATTTGTTTCTAGATCTGGTGCCGTGACCTGGCGATGCAAGAATGCAGTCAAGAAATCCCGGCAGTTAAACCTAAGCCGAAGATCATGTAATCCAAATATTGTCAGGTCAGGAAATAGTATTTAAACTTGGAAATCCAAGTAGGATTATGGTAGCAGCTAAATTCAGGTCCTTAGTTTCTTCTGGTTTCACAGTTTTGCTCTCTTAGTTCTGTAGTTCCAGGGTTCAACAACTCTGTTTGAGAAGTAACTTATTATTTAATGGCAATTTGCACATTTTTTCCTGACATCTAGTAATGCAAAAGTTGTAAACACATTTCATATTTTCTTTTTTTTTGGTCTCATACTTTCTATGCTTTATCCCCAATTGTTTTTTAAAATCTTAAGAAAGGAATTGAATTAAAAACAGAAAATATGATAATAAAATTCTAATTAGGTTTGACGAGGACGGAAACCCAATAAAGCCAAGTTCATTAGAGAAAACCAACCAGATCCTCACGGTATGTGGAAATAGCCTTTTATAAATTGTTCCCTAACAGACTGACACTCTTTTAACACGGCTTTTAATTTCCTGATATGCCCCTCTCCTGGGGAAGAAATGATTTTTAAATTTTGGGGGAGAATAAAATTAACCTCCAAGTTTTTTCTCTGTTTTAACAATCTAAAATAGTTTAAATTCAGCGAGACCAAACCCTTAAACGTAAAAACACATTTTCTTTTCTTTTTTATCTTTACACTCCTGTATTCCGCGTCCATTAGCGCCTGATCCAATCAGGGTTCAGTCATATGTTTGTTGTCTATTCTGAACCAATATAAATAGTATGGCGGTAATATATATCTTTCTATCTATCTCATTATCCAATTAGAGTTATGAATCCTTGAATCGGTGCTATCAGTAAATGGAAATATTTACTTCTACTGAAACTATATTCTTTAATGAGGAAAATATTTTTGGTCAGGATGTTTGCTCTGAAAACTGGAACCCAGGAGGATCTGCAGATGATTCCACAAAAGAACTCCTTTCAGGTGATCAATCTGATAAATAAGTTGGTGTTAGTTTAAATATAACCAATAATAAAGATCCTGATTATGAGGATTGTTGGATCTAGTCAACCAAACGTCGACAAATATTTTAAGAAAATCGTTCTTTTCAAGAACATTTCGCTAATTAAAAAAATTAATTGAAATTCTGAATCTGTTGTTAAAGATCTAATTGAAGAGAAAACAGGGGCGGTTTTGACCAATATTTCACGGGGGGGGGAGGGTTAATTTTTGGGCCACCCCCTAAAAATTGTAAAAAAGCAGTAAACTTCAATTTCTTAATTGTTCAAAAAATCACAAATAAATTGACTATCAAAAAACATAATCAAATATATACAACTACACATGTGCGGATGTATAAGAGAGATTGGTATGCATGAAGGGTGGGGTCGCAAAAGGAGAGAAACCCACATGGATGTCTTCATTCATGTTGTTGACTCTTTAAATCACAGAGTATATATATATATATATAGAGTATCCAGTTCAAAATTAACTTGTGCTCTCGTCACAGCTCATCTCATGGGGTGGATAACATACAAGGCTCGTCAGATCTTCCTTCATATCATCTATAAAGACAACTTTATGGCCTAATTAAAATATACAGGATTCTCTGCTATATAGCTTGGTTCGAGACTTGAAATGTCGTCTTCCAGTTCCAAGATGAAGCAAGATCTGAAGAGCACTGTATAAATATATATAAACTTAAAATCAAAATCGACCTTTAAAAAAGCTTATACATTGCAGAGAAAAAAATGTTCATATCTACACATTTGTACATTATTTTTAATGCTACTTTGTGTATACTAAGTGATTTAAGGAGTCTAAAATGTTGGTTTATACTTCATACCTCATTATCTAATTTCAACCACATGGTCTATTAGTATAAATAATAAGACGAGAGAACAAATTAACGGGTATTTCAGGTCATTTATTCAATTCTATTTTCTTTGTATCTTTCATCTCTTGATGTTTTTATTTCATATTATAAATTTCCTTAGGGGGCGTGGGCACTCCTTCTAATCCGCCCCTCCTTCTAGTCCGCCCCTGTGAACGTCCCTCCCCCCTCTTCAAGCCTCTGTTTTTAAGTCCCCTTTTTCCCCAACATTTAAGGAATGTTGATGGTTTGAAGTATGAATTAGGAATAAAATGAACTTAAAGATAAAAAATATCAAAAAGAAAGAAATACAATACTTATTTTTTATTCCTAAATGTTAAAGATATAATATATCAAAAAGAGAGAAATACAATAATTATTTTTTTTTATTCCTAAATGTTAGAAAATTGTGTCTCAAGTGGTTTCAAGTTTTCAACTCATTTGTTTTAGTTTTATTGCAGATATTTAAAAACATAATTTCTATTTTAATTTGAAACAGAGGTTTTAAATTCCCATTTTCTTATGATCTCCAGGCGAGGATGAACGGAACACAATGGAGGAAGGAAATGAACCTGAAGACAAAGAGGATGTAAAAGAAGACTCTGTGATAAATAGTAGACTAGAGGAGGATGTCTCTAATAATCAAAGTACAAAGGAAAACGATGAAAACCTTCTCCTTGACCATACTCAGCCAAACAAGGTACTGCTTGTAATTAAAACCCCCTTAATTCAAATATTAAAAATTATGCTTCCAGGCCGATCATCGATTAATAACTTTTAGTTGTTGCTCTATCTGCCTCTTAAATTTTCAAACAATAACAACAACAAAAAAAGCAGAATTATAGATTTTTTTTGTGGTTTCTGAGCCCGCCATTTTAAAAACTTCGGCTCGAGCCGTAATTCCTTAAACCCGACTTTTAAGACCCAATCTTCGACCCAACTCTGACGACAGCTTGTTTCACGTGATTGGCGGCTGCAACATCTTCGGCTTGACTTAAGAAGTTAGGCCCAATGAAAATAAAACCGACTTTGGTTGGTTTCAGTAGAGAATTTTAAATCGCGGATTCAGAAAAGTCATACATCTTTAAAATTCTGATTATCCATAAACCTTCCGTGGGGTCATGTAAGGTCCCACAATTTTTTTACCGGAGTTAATTTGATGAGGTTTGTTCTCACGTTTTTTGTTTGTTTTGCTCTAGACAGTGAAGGAGAAGAAACAGCACAGAGGAAAACTGCCCCGACACGCACCAGTACCCCCTCCCAGTCACCTTATCAATCTACCTCATATTAAAAAGGTATTCTGAGACCGAATTTAAAGAGTTTGAGCCACGGCTCGAATATGGTTGGTTCCTCTAATAATTGTATTCAATGTTTCAAGATTTTAGCGGCGCTAAATTGAAACCGGTTTTTGGTGGATATGAGACGCGGTTCAAATTCATTTAGTTCGAACTCAGTTGAACTTATTAGAAATATATTTTTAAGCCCATAAAATTGTGGGATTAGAAGACGACTTTTATGCCATTTTGTGCGTTTTTGACTTTTTAATGTTAAACTTACATTTGTCCTTCTTTTCCACATTTTAAGATACCATTATGTCATAGGTGTCAAAAGTTTTTCTTTTTTCGCTCTAGTCAAAATGAAACCTCAAAAATGCGATAGCCATTATCCAAAAGATTGAGGATCTATCTATATATAAACTGTAATCTCTGCTTGTCTGTTTGTTTGTATGTCCAATTATAACTTATAAACTCCTTGACTGATTTGCTTAACATTTTGATTTGGGAACTTGGGAGAACTACGGTAATGTTCTTAGCTAGGTTTTGAGATTCTGAATTGAGTGGGTCCACGTTTACTAGCTAAAATCGTAATTTGCGACCAAGCGCGGGTAAGTTGTGGGAGTAACTATGATTACCCTGGGCAACGCTGGGTTCTCAAGCTAGTTCTTGATATTATTATTGTTTGTTTGTTTAGTATTGGGCTCAACGATACCGGTTATTCTCTCTGTATGATGAAGGTATACAACTGGACGAGGAATCATGGTACTCCGTTACTCCGGAGAAAATAGCAGAGCATATAGCTTATAGGTAATATTTTCTCCGTTTTCGTAAAATTCATAAAGTTGCGAGAAAACAAATTTTTGCACATTTTTAAAATCCTTAAAAGCCAGAAACCACCCATGTCTATTGTCGGCCCAATTGTTTCGAAATTTATTAGAAACAATTACAGATCAAATACCAACAAGACAATTAGTTGAATAGATTCCTCTAATGCCCTTTTTGTAGTTTGCAGTAGTCGTAGTAGGGAGTGGAAATGGACACTGAGGACAAAATTTCACCTTAGAGTTGAAGCTAGTAAATCTAGATTAGTGGAAAATCAGATCAAATATATAATTCAATAATTTCCTTCGGATTAGAAAATAGATATTTTGTTTAGATGTCAATGTGATATTATTGTGGACGGATTCTGTGGCGTAGGTGGGAATGCAATCCAGTTTGCGTTTACGTGTGAACGTGTGATCGCGATCGACATCGATCCTGTGAAGATCGAACTTGCGCGACATAATGCTCGAGTTTACGGTGTAGAGGATAGGATTCAGTTTATTGTCGGAGACTTTTTCCAGGTTGGTTCCCGTACTTATCTTTAATCTCTTTAAAGATATATTCACCTCCGGCCACCATTTTCAAAAATGTTTTTTCTAGTGCTGACTACGAAAGTAGATCTAAAATCAAATGATTTTTCAAATCATGCATCTGGAATATTTTTACATTAAAAAAAAAACAAAATACAAATTTATTAAAAGTCCTGTTTAAAGGGACTGTAAGAGTAATTTTAAGTAATTTTCAAATAATTTAAGTAGTTTTAACCCTCACAAAAAGATGACAATGCCCGATTACAACGGTACCCTAGAAACCTTAATCTGATCAAAAGTGTGGAAGATAATGTCGTTTTTCTGGCTCGGAAAGTGTTAATTCTGATAATTTATCCAGTTTTTCTTATGAGCAAGAAATGCGCAAGTCACTTTTGCAAGAAACCACAAATGAAAATAAACATTTTAAAAAACAAAAAAACAAGGGTACCGTTGTAAATCGGACATTGCCCGCTTTCCACTTCAATTAACGCTTACAATTCATTTAAGCTCTTTTTAGTTTTTCCCCCTAGCCCAAAGAATAAAAAATGTTCTTTTTTTGTCAATAGAAATTTGTTTATCATTAACATTCAATAGCTAAAAGAATAAAGAACGTATCCTTTTTATTAAGCCTAAAATGTATAAATTTTCATTTTTTATAAATGTTTGTATAACTATAAAATTATTGAGACCTGTTATATAAAATCAATATTGACAAATACGTAATATGTGTAGGTTATTCCTCATCTAAAAGCAGATGTCGTCTTCCTTTCTCCTCCCTGGGGTGGACCTGAATACCTTAATAGTGAGGTAAACTAATTAGTTCGTCAGATGATTTCGCTTAACACTTTTCTACGAATAAACATTTTCCTAAAAAATTGTAATTTAAAAAAAACTAACAAAAACTACAAAATATGTCCAAGATTTGTGAACTACAATATTTCGAGTTTGTTTGTTCTCAAATTGATATCGACGTTTTATCCCAAAATGATTTTCAAGTTTAATATTCAATAATTTCTTTCTGTTTATTCTTCAATAGATTTAATCTGCTTGATGTCTATAAGATTTAAAGATGTCTGACGCCAAATGTTTTAAAGTTCTTTGACCTCAGCAATTAAAAATTGTTTGATCTTCAATTTTAAAAGTCAAAGTTTGACCTCTAATGACCGTTTAGGTATTTGATCTTCAAGTGATGGACGGAAACCTAGATGGATACAAGATTTTTCAAGAAGCATTAAAGGTCTTTTTAAAATTAATAACAATAATAATAATAATCACTGTCGAGTGTCAATCCTTCAATCGGGGATTTCAGGCTTGATTTAATCTTAATTATTTTTTTTAAATTTAGGTATCGACAAGTATTGCATATTTTGTACCTCGTAACACCAATGTGGATCAGTTAACCGGCCTGGCTGGTCCTGGGGGCAGGTCAGCACAATATTTATTTATCCATTAATCCTTCAAACACTTAGATACTTTTCATACAGTCGTCGTCGTATATATCAATACAACGAATACTTATTTCGATTTCAATTTTTTATTTCTACTAAACTTTTAAACAGCATGGATACACAATACACATAAACATGTAAACAAAGAATCAAATAGCAGCTTCTCTTTGTTTTCCTGTAAACTTGTATTTTAAATAGTTGTTGTTAGAAATGATCAAAATTTAGATATAAAAGTATTCTTTATGGATATACTTAAAAGCCGACGACTGTAAGATGAAGTTTTAGATGATTAAGAAAAAAGCTTACGGATCCGGATCCAAGGGACAAAACCCCATCCAAACCTGCTAAAATTTACTTTTTACACTCAAAACACAAATATCAACTGTTAACTAATAAGCGATAATTATAAGTTCTTAATCTCTGAATTTTTCAGCAAAAAAAATAAGCAAAAAAAAGAAAGAAAAATAGTTGAAACTTTTTGATTTGTTAAAAAATCAGTGAATTTTAAGGAAATGTTTATGACAACTGACCCGGGCGGATCCAGGATCCGGATCCGGATCCACATCAAAATTAAATGGATCCTAATCACAGGCTGTACGTTTCTTTATGTTATCTTTGTGTTCAATTTTAGAGTTGAAGTGGAGCAGAATCTTTTAAACCGGAAGTTCAAAACCCTGACAGCTTACTACGGAGATCTGGTTGAAGAAGAACCGGAAGTCTAATACTTATGGAAAAGACCGAATTCATTTATCAATCAACTGCTGTAAATTACACTGAACAAGATGTAAAAAAATAGTATAACTTACTCATCTAATGCTCATTCTGTAATTTTGATTAATCTTATTCATATTAAAATTTCTTTACGTATTTTCTATTCGTTCTATTAAGAATGCTGAAAACTCGAAATACGCAGTAAAAGCATTTTCTTGTTATTATGATATTTTTTAGTATCTTAGTCATAAATATATAACGATATTGCCATTTTTTAGATATTTTTTTCCAGATAAATACAATGACAGAAAATAAATGTGATAAATGTGAGTATTTATCGTCGGAGAAACGGTATTTGAAAGGACACATTAGGAACATCTTTTTAATGAAAACTTGTGTCCTGTTTATCTTTATTTTATAAGTATTCATTTTCTTTTGTCGGAAAACTATGTAAACAAATTTCTAAGTTTTTCTTCTAACTTGACTAAACAGCTCGACTGCTAGAAAATAAGAGAAATTAATTAAGGCAGTTATTAGATGATTGTACGCAGACGAATGCACTGCTTGGATGGAAAAAATGCTAAATGTGATGAATGCGAATATTCTACGTATAGTCCATGGAGGCTGAAGCTGCACAAACAGAACAAGCATAATAAGGTATTAAACAAAACCGCTAATTTACTTTCACTTTAAGAATGTGCAATAAAAATTCACAACGTTACCGTTTATACCAAATAGCTCTCTTGGATTTTCTAGAAATTGTAAATGAGCTAAAAATTGCCGAGACCCATTAAATTCTTAACAAAAGAACTGTTTCTCTATGCTATTCTTCTCTGTTATAAAGCTCTTTGCTCATGTATATATATTTGTATATTTATATGTTAGCTACAGCTGGCCAAACGGCTGGACCAAATTGGTTAAATTTTTTTTGAGGTACCCTGGGGTTAACATAGGCTTAAAAAATCGGATTTTTTCAAAATTCGAGTTTTATTAACTTCAGCTAATTTTAAATAAAGGTTTACATATTTTGAGATCTTTACTTCAAAGGGGACCCAGCAGTATTTTTTATTCTTTTTGATTTGACTAGGATTGCGGACTGCGATATCTGTGTGATCTATGTGAACATTCCTGTCTTCAAATCCGAGAAATGAATATACACAGGAAAAGTGATCACGGGATTCAGGCTAAGAGAGCACTCAGCGCCTTCAGTCTTCACCTTAGAAACCACAGAAAAATTATAAAAGGAAAAGCTGAAAATCAAGTTTATTTTATTATTTTCTTTAATATCCCATCCTGGTATACAAAGCAAAATTCTTTACCAAACTAGATCAAATGACTCGATTCCGGATTTAATTTCTTCTTAATGATACCCTTCTTAATATAAGCCAGAACCTTTCCACTATACACCATGGACCTTTCTCCATATACACCAGACCCTTCCCCATATATACCAGACTCTTACCCCATAAATACACCAGACCCTTCCCCATATATACCAGACTCTTCCCCTTAGATACACCAGACCCTTCTCATTATCCACTAAATCCTTCCCCTTGGGCCCTTGTACACCAGACCCTTCGCCTTAAACACCAGAGTCAGGCCCATCTCCTTACATACCAGATTTTTCCGCATATATAACAGATCCTTCCCCATAAATTCACCAGACCCTTCTCCTTATACACCAGACCCTTCCCCATCATTACACCAAACCCTTCTCCTTATAAACCAGACCCTTCCCCATATATACGAGACTCTTCCCCATATATACCAGACTCTTCCCCTTAAATACACCAGACCCTTCTCCTTATCCACAAAATCTTTCCCCTTGGGCCCTCATACGCTAGACCCTTTTCCTTGTACACCAGATCCTTCCGCATATATATACCAGACCCTTCCGCATATATACACCAGACCCTTCCCCTTTACACTAGACCCTTCTCCTTGTACACCAGATCCTTCCGCATATATACCAGACCCTTCCGCATATATACACCAGACCCTTCCCCTTTACACCAGACCCTTCTCCTTTACACCAGACCCTTCTCCTTATAAACCAGATCCTTCTTCTTATACACCAGATCCTTCCGTATATATACACCAGACCCTTCCCCAAATATATACCAGAACCTTTGTTTTATACACCATGCCCTTCCCTTCTTTTCTATTTAAACCCGTTTAAAAATAAATTTGCTTGGCGTTTGCCATAAAAAAAAATCTTTTAGAATTGGTTAAATTCAACTATTTTCCTGCAGACAGTTTGGTGTATTCATCATCACAGGATATTTTGAAACAAGCTAAACTATCCTGGAACCTTGTAGGTTGAGTAGTACAATTTTTTACGAGACTACATTAGCTTAGTGAATATTTATAAATATTTTGTAATTTTTTTTATTATTTTTTCGTAAAGCGTTTACCTTCAGAGAATGGTAACGTGCTATGCCTTATGTTCACATGAATGGAAACAGAGTTATACTTTTTTCCGCAGTCGCAAATAGCTAATATAATAGTTTTGAGACCATTTTATTGATAAGGTCTAATTTTGCTTTCCCTAAAAAGTCTAAAATAACATGGTTCCCTTTTTAAAATTCATAATCCTAAGAAGAAGAAAAAAGCGTAAGAATTAGTGTTTTAATTCAATAATTTACCAAGATTTTGTTAATTAGGTGAAGAAGAGAAAGAAAAACTGAAAGATTTATCTCGGAAAGAATATAGAGCTTGGTATACACTCTTTAAACCCAGAATATGTGCGTCAACTAATATTTCAGAAGAGGTACATAAAACAAAAGATATATAATAAACAATTATACATTTAATTTTAAGAATTCAAAATATAAAAATGCGTATTACACTCCTACTTCCAAGCTTTTTTCCTTTTTAGTTATAAATTTTTCTCCTAAATCTTAAAAACATTATCAAAAAGAATCTAAATTTTTAAAGTAATGGCGTAAAAAAAATCTTCATATTTTTCCACAAATCTTAGATATTTCTCCATTTCAGGATGATGCTGATCAATTGGATGATAGTGTACATGATGATGATGATCTTGATCAAGATGAACATGAAGATGATCAACATGATGAAGATGACTCTGATGCTGAGATAGAAGTTAACGTTCTAGAGATCGAGTGCTCAGAGACTACCGAGATCAGCATCATATCACACAGGTATAAAACTAATTCAATTTGAAATTAAACAACTTCCGAAAGGAAAAAAAATAATATTTTTTAGTTAATCAAAAAAAGTTTAACTTTTTAAAATTAACAATTCTGGTTTTTTACCCACTTTTGTTTAGACAAAGTACAGAAGTTGGGAGAAAAATAACAGTGCAGCAAGACGAATTCATCAGTTTCAGCTCAAGTTGTTCTCCAGGGTTATCCGACCAACCAACTAATCATTTGTTTGTCCAACCCTTGAGACAAACATCAAACCAATCATCCAATCTGCTTTTAAATCAACCTGGAAACCATACAATTGACCAACCGTCCTTTGAACCAAACAAATTGTCCAGCAAACATCCAACTCACCAAATATTAAACCCGTCATGTTCATCATTTGAGTCATTCAATCAGTCTTCCTGTATAGTACAAGACCAAACTTCAAACCAATTAGAAAAATCATCTTATCCATTTGTTCCAACTTATATCCAACAATCCAACCAATTCGGCATAACACAATTTAATATGCTAAACAACCAACAGTCTACACAGTATCAACCATTAAAACAACAATCAAATCAACCATCTAACATTCAATTCAATAATCCAGTAAATCGAGAATCCAAAGAATCCAGCATTCCATCAAATCAAGAATCCAGCATTCCATTAAATCAGGAATCTAGGAATCCATCAAACCATCCATCAAACTATCATTCAAATCAACAATCCAACCATTCATCAATTCAACAATCCAGCAATCCATCAATGTATCCTTCAAATCATCAATCCATCAATCCATCAAAGAATCTACCAAGCCAATCATCAACTCAGCCATTAAAACATCCATCAATATTTCCATTAAACCATATTAGGAACCAGCCATCAAATCAATCATTCAGCCATCCATCTCACCATTTACCAAATCAATCCTCATACTATGCATCTGAACATCCATCAAATACACCATTCAATCCTTCATCTGATCGGCCATCAAACGATCCCTCTAGCGATCCATTGAACCAACATTTAAGTCAACCATCCAAGGATTCCACAAGTCTGTTTTCTAATCAGGCATTGGTACAAACATCCAGCGAACCAGTGGCTGAACAAAGAACTGTCCTGGAAACTTCCTCTTTTAAACAATTGACAAATGCCAAAAGAAATTTGTTTCCATGTGAACAATGTGATTACTCAACGGAGAAAAGATCAAATTTATTTAGACACATGAACTCTCAACATCTTAAAGTTCAGAATTTTTGTGACATTTGTGACTTTTCAACTCCCCACTCAAGCTATCTAAAGAGACACTTAAAGTTGCATTCATCTGAAAAGACTGAATCTGTTGTGAAGAAAGCTCAGCACCGTTCCTCATTTCTCAAATTCTGTGCTGAAAAGAGAGATGAAATAAAAGGAAAATTGTCGATTAACTTTAGAATTGTGAATTCCAGGAAACATATTTTAGTTTTAAATTCTAATTTTTACAATGAATTGTTATCAGTTTTCGGACACGAATGGTGCTGATAATTTACGTTTACATCACTTTTCAACCTGTTGTTGTTCATTGTCCAGAACAAGCCTAAGATGATTTCTATTTTAATATAATTTCTTATCGGGTTTTCTTTACCAAAAAAATGTTTTACATTAATTTTGATGCTTATTTAATATATTAAAATATGACGTTTACAGATTGGTAAACCAAGAGCTCGGAAAAGCCTGGAAATTGTTAGATGAAGAAACCAAACTTAAATACACAATAAAAACCAAACCAAACCCTACAGTAGAATTAACAAAGAAATGTCCGAGAAATCCCTTCGCATTATTTGTTCGCGAATATTTCGCGGATTTGCGAAAAGATCCCAAATATTTAAATATTTCTAGTAGAGATGTTTATAGAAAAGCTGGAGCAGTTTGGGCAAAAAAAAGCCCAGAAGAAAAGAAAAAATATTGCTTTATGTTTGTTGAGGAGAGAAGAAAAATGTGAATTAATTTGTTATTTGCTTTTTGGAGATCAAAACTAAAAATTATTTATTGAATTATTTATTCAAAACTTTTTCTATATTTCAGATTCTCGATAAAAATGCCTCCCTGGAAGAGTCCTGGAAGCCTGGCATCCCTCAGTTCGACCTCTCTAATTACAAGCCTGGCGGTCAGAATACGCGGTGCAGACACAGACTCTAAAATATTTAGGAATTTCATATTCTTTATATAACTTGGAAAATTTCATATGAGTATATAAGGATGAAAAATTCAAAATCTGACCTTATTTAAATCTTCGTTCCCGGCATGATTGCATTGGGTCATTTTCAAAATGTAGTTTAAAAGATTTAATTGCAAGTGATTTTATTTTTGGAATGAAATTCAAGACTCAAAATTCTTAGCTGTCCTTTTCCGGTCATGAGAGTTCGAAGATTTGACGAATAAGATATAAGAGAACATGTTAAATTTTTTTAACCCGGTTTAAATTAGTTTCGTCAAAAACCCTGTTTTTGGCATAATAATTTAATAAATTATGGAATTGTGCAGTGATATCCAGTCAGTTCTCTCCAGTTTACCAATACCTCTATTAGGTTTTTTTTTATTAATTTAGAAACCATGGGTGAGGTAGAATTTTATATATCAAATCATGTCGAGACCATATTATGGTCAATAGATAAAACCCTAAAATCAACAGTTTTATATCTCCAATAGAGTTTAAGTCAAAAGAGACTATTTTCATTTTTAAAGTTCTCTCTTGATATATTATTTTAACAACAAAAACTTCTGTCTGCCCTCTTAGTACTTTTTTTTATTTTTTAATAGTGCTATAAAGTAATTATTGTGCTGTAAAGTTAAATTAGCTGTTTCTTATAGCACCGTGCTGTAAAGTTAAAGTAGCTGTATTTTATAGCACCGTGCTATAAAATTAAATTAGCTGTATCTTATAGCACCGTGCTGTAAAGTTAAATTAGCTGTTTCTTATAGCACCGTGCTATAAAGTTAAATTAGCTGTATCTTATAGCACCGTGCTGTAAAGTTAAATTAGCTGTTTCTTATAGCACCGTGCTGTAAAGTTTAAACTGTTCCCGGATTTTCACCAAAAATTAAATTAACTGAAGAACGCTCGGTACAAAATAAAATTTAAAAAGGTAAAGAGAAAATTTCTGTAAAAAAAACTTTCTAGCACAGCAATCCAAAATAATAGTTTTTATAAATAGTTATTTTGATTTAGAGGATGTGATAGAAGGGTTGACAATTATACTGATAGGAAAAGATAAACAAACCAAATCGTTCTTTAATGCATTTAAATGCTTCCCACTCAGGTAACAAAACTAACTTAAGTAAGATTCTAATTAATATTTTACCGAATTAGTGAAAGAATGTAAGTTTCAAAAACTTTAAAAAAACGGACTACAAATCTTATATAAACTTTAAAAATGTCATTATTTTTATGATGTTAAATATTATTCAATGCGACAATATAAAGAGTACTTTCGTTTGAACCACAAGAAATTTCGAACCCGTTCTAATAAGAGCATTCAAAAATGTTCAACTCGGGATTTTATTCTTAAACCCTTTAAAACCTTGAAATATATAATTCAGAAACCTGACAAAACTGAACTTCAGTAGACTGTTCCATGGATTTAGGCTCTCCAGGTTTGATAAACTTATGAAAGACAAACTTATGAAAGACAAACTACTGAGATACACACTACTTAAAGGCAAGCTTTTGAAAGACAAATTGCTGAAGGTCAAACTACTTGAAAAAAAGCTCTTGAAAGACAAACTCCCAAAATACAAAGTTATGAAAGACAAACTCCTGAAAGACAAACGACTGAAAGGCAAACTCTTTAAAGACAAACTTCTGAAAGAGAAACTCCCAAAAGACAAAATTATGAAATACAAACTCCTGAAAGACAAACTACTGTAAGACAAACTTCTGAAAGACAAACTTCCGAAATACAAACTCCTGTAAGACAAACTTATGAAAGACAAACTTATGAAAGACAAATTCCTGAAAGCCAAACTCTTTTAAGACAAACTTCTGAAAGAGCAACTCCCAAAAGACAAATCTATGTAAGACAAACTCCTGAAAGACAAACTCCTTAAAAACAAACTTCTGTAAGACAAACTTCCTAAATACAAACTTCTGAAAGACTAATTTATGAAAGACAAACTTATGAAAGACAAACTTATGGAAGACAAACTTCTGAAAGACAAACTTCTAAAAGACAAAGTACTGAAAAACAAACTTCTGTAAGACAAACTTCCGAAATACAAACTCCTGAAAGACTAACTTATGAAAGACAAATTTCCGAAATACAAACTCATGAAAGACTAACTTATGAAAGACAAACTTATGAAAGACAAACTTATGGAAGACAAACTACTTGAAAACAAGCTCTTAAAAGACCAACTTCCGAAAGAAAAACTCATAAAACAAACTTCTGAAAGACAAACTCTTGCAAGACAAACTTCTCAGGGAAAACGCCTAAAAGACAGAGCTTTTAAAATCCTAAAAATAAAAAAATTAATGAAAAAGTAAATGAAAATACCTTAGATTAAAAACTCTTGCATTATAATCAGATTATTTCAGAACACAGAACACAGAGTTTAAAGAGTTCTGTGTTAATGTATTCAAAAACACACATTACCTCAGACAACTAGGAACACTAATATTATTTTTAATATTAATTTATTTATAATTGATTACTTTACCCATTTATTTAAAATTAGCAATAAGATTTTGAAAGTTTCTTGTCCATCCAATCAGAAATAGTTAATTAAAATTGTTTTTAGGGGTTGAAGCAGGATGCTTTTTCATTATAATATATTTCCCTGTTTTGAGATCTCAAGTTTTTTCTTCAAAAAAGTTAATAATCTTGTGTTAGTTTTGATCGCAAAATGTACAAATGAAATTCTCACACAGCTCGGAGACTCCTGTAAACATCTATGGTAATAAATAAAAACAATAAATATAAATACTTTACTTAAAGAAATCATTTAAATAAACTAAAACAATTAAAGGTTTGTAAAAAGATTATGCATTTTTTCTGAATTAATGAATTTTTTGAAATTATTTTAAGTTTTGAAAATAAATGGATTTTTTAGGGAACTAAATATTGGACTGAGTGATGATATTTCTGATGAAGGACTTTTAGGAAAACACTTACTATCTTCATTATTTTATACCTCAAATCTACCTAAAATGTGACAAGTAAACCTTAAATGGGACATGTAAACCTTAAATGTGACAAGCAGACCTTAAATGTGACAAGCAGACCTTAAATGTGACAAGCAGACCTTAAATGTGACAAGCAAACCTTAAATGTGACAAGCAGACCTTAAATGTGACAAGCAAACCTTAAATGTGACAAGCAGACCTTAAATGTGACAAGCAGGCCTTCAATAATACAAGAAAACCTTAAATGTTACAAGAAACCCTTAAATGTAACAACTAAACCTTAAATTTGGCAAGAATACGTCTAAATTCTACTATTAGTTAAAATATTTACAGTGTAAATTGTATGTACTTTTTATGGGGTTTAAGTTAAAAAAGTGCAAGAGAATATATTTCGCTATGGTTAAAATTGTGCATTTTCTTGCATGTTAGGGTTGTAGGCTTTGATTTCCTTTACAAGCTATTAATATTATTTAAAATTAGACTTATATGCTAAACCCCCCTTTCAATAATTTATGCAAAATGTTTTCTAAATAAAAGATGAAAAAAAACCTAAGCTAAATAAGTGATATTGAGTAGGGCTGTTACCTACCCCCACAGATACCAGGTGTTCTAACCTCAGGATATTAGATATAACCAAGTGCTGGAATATCAGGTAATTAATTGACAATTGTCTATTGAGAAATAAGATTTTAATGTCTTTTGAAAAATAACATTCTTTAATGGTAAACTTTCAATTCTGTAAAACAGAGAAAAAAATTGCATGTAAAAAAAGAAATTCAGGGCGTTTCACATTGTTTCGTAAAAAAATTATTTAAATCGTTTATGCATTTTTTTATTCAGAAAGGACAATTTTCCAGAATTTTTTAAGGTTTTAAAAATATTGTTTTTCGGTTCAATCTTTTTAGAGTAACAAGATTGTTAAACAATTGATAATTTTAGTCCAAAGGGAGCCGCCAGTGTTATTACAAAGCTACCTAAACTCCAAAGGTAAAAGAATTTGATTTTAAAAATAAGATTAAAAGGTTTGTTAGCTGAATTTTATGTAAACTTTAAAAAAAAAATAATGTAATTCTCTACACAACGATAAAACTAAACAAAAGTTGAAAAAAATTTTTGAATTGTTTGCTCGTCTATTTGGTGTATAAATCTGTAAGATGTTTATTAAAAGTCACAGTATATCGATATTAATTACATTTTTATCTAGGTTGTGCTACTCCAGTATGCGAGCAATGGCAGAAGAAATATCAAGAAACCAAGAGGTTTTTTTTAAAATATTGAATTTACAATATGTATTAAGTATTGTTAATCCTTTTTTTGTATTTTGGGAATAACCTATGTAAAGAGTGGTAGTCCCGATTCACAGTGGTGCAATTTGAACCTTTTCCTGATCAATAATAAAGGAGATATCGTCGTTGTTTTTGCATGAAAACTGACTGTTCAGTTTTGACAATATTGTCCATTGTTTCAGCAGCAGAAATCCGCAAATTACATTCACAGAGAACCCACTTGAAATTGCGTCTACAATTGTGTCGAAAATTAAGACACTTTAAATATAATTTTTATAATCAAATAATTTCTAAATTTTAGAGAGATTTAAATCTGAATTTTTATTACCAAGCCAAGATAAATGCTAAGAATTCATGACTTTAAAATATGAACGGTTTAAAGTTAAGGTTACAAGCAACAAATATAGAAAGACAGAAGTGTTTATGATTTCAAAGATTTATCTGTATTTATTGCATTATGCATAAATATATTTTATCAATATTCTTCACACAATTATGCAATAAAGTCCCTATAAATTTCTAGACTGAAGAGGTTGGAGGAAGCTACGAGCTGGATTATTTTGAATGTACAGAACAGAATTATGTTCAGCTTAACTATAAAACCATGCCCGCTGTCACATATCCAAGAATAGGTTGGTTTATTGATTGATTGAGTTTCATTCAATTCAATTTGAAGCATTCAATTTCTAATTTTAAGCATTCAATTTATATTTGAGATAATATATTTTAGATTTGAAGCATTCAATGTATATTTGAAATATCAAATTTCATTTTTGATCAAATAAATTGTATAACTAATGAAAAAAGTGCTTATTAGCTTATTAAAAGTTCACTTTTTGGAAAGCTTTCTGAAATGTTTAATTTGAACACTTTTTCAGGTTTTTCTGAAGTATTTCAAATGTTCCCAAAGATCTTGACAATTAAAGTTTTAGTTTCTGATCCTGAAGTCCAACAGTTGACATGCTTTACAGGTCAGTGTAGAATAGTTGACATACTAAACAGGTTTCTGTAGAATATTAAACATGCTTTATAGGTTACCGTAGAATATTAGACATGCTTTACAGGTTACCGTAGATTGATAAACATGCCTTATAGGTCACTGTAGAATATTAGACATACTTTATAGGTTACTGTTATAAATTAGGCATGCTTCAAAGGTTACCGTACATTGATAAACATGCCTTACAGTTTACTTCAGAATATTAGACATGCTTCACAGGATACCGTTGATTACTAAACATGCTTTACAGGTGCCGGTTAAATAATAGACATGCTTTACAGGTTACCGTATATTGATAGAAATACTTTACAGGTTACTGTAAAATATATGACATGCTTTACAGATACTTGACCGAATAAATAGAATATCAGACAAACTTCGTATAAACGACATGCTTTTTTTACAGTACCAATAGGATTGCATTTTTGCTGTAACAGAGATACTCAGTTTGTTATCACTGATATCGTTAATTTTCCTATTTCATAGGTTTACGCCATGTTGAATTTGAGCTTGTTGATGATCCAGGAGTTGGTTTCAAATCCTTCTTCCAGGATCCTTGTACTAGGAACCTGAACCAAATAGTACTCCAGGTATATATATCCTTGTACTAGGAACCTGAACCAAATAGTACTTCAGGTATAGATAAAAAAAATAAATATTTATTTGCAATAAAAACGTTTATTTGCCTAGCAACGTCTAAATTTTGCTATGTTTTTTTTCCTTCCAAGGAACTGATTTCCCGCCCTAAACTCAAATTTTCTAGTCTGAATCCGTATATCAATTCAACCTGATGATGGTTTAAAGCTTGATTACTTCATCTAACAGAATCTATAGTTTTATTTCTGAAATATCTAGGGACTACGACTTCAAATTGCAAAGATAGTATTAAAAAATTATAGTTAGAGGAGTGAAATCCGTTTCTTTTCATTTTTTAAGATATAGTACAATGTACATTGTTGTTGTCGCTAAGAAACAAGATTCTGACGATGAACAGAAAGACAAGGTATAGCCCACGAATCAAAATCGATAATGCAGAAAACTCTTTATTTCCTAAAAAAAAATAACGAAATGAATGATGATAAATAATTATTACAGGGTTAACAAATTTATAATGAAAAGATTCTTACGATCTATTTTCCTATATTCGGGGGGCTATCTGTCGAAAAGTCCGAAGACGCTTTTTATACATTAAAACTTCTGAAAAGATTGACAATTAAATGTTGATGAAGGTCACTAATTCTTTAAATAGAAATGTTTTGTTTAACTTTGAAATGGTTCACAATTGATAAACGTTTTAACTCCGTCATTGGAGAACAAAGAAGAAAAGCGGGCTGGAATTGTTTGGTTTGGCTTCTCATCTCCGAGAGGAGCTTTTAGGTTGAAGACGACATTACATGGAGGGGGGGGGGGTTTTAATGTTAATGGTTGACAATTGTACATTGTACATTGTACATTACACTATGCATATCTGATCTGTAAGAAGCACATTGCACAAATACAATGCACATCCTATCTATAAAGATGAAAAAGATGCACATTGCATATGCTTTGTATCAAGCTACACATTACACATGCTGTCCATTCATTTTTTTATTACAAAGGTGATCTGTACGCCAGCTAGCTACCTGCAAATTATAGCTGAAAACTGTCAGCAGTTGACTGTCTTCAAGTTTACAGGTGCGTGGTGATTATAATATTATTTTAACTGTAATAGTCTAGAAATTCAGGGAGATTCGCGCCCTTCTTTCAAATACAAACCTTGACTAATGTTTCTTTTATATGCATCCAGTTTATATCATTTCATTGAACAGTGACAAACTTTTGTGTAATTTTAATTTTTGTCCAAGGCCACTAGGATGACAAATGAGGCTATAAGTTATAAATATAAATGAATAAATTGAGGATTTAGACTTGAGTTAGAATACTTTGCATCCCTAGCATTATCCCTAGCATGAATCCAATCTGTCAAGTTTTGTCCACAAATATTATAATGTTTAGAAGTGAAAAGGCTTTGTTTTTTTACCCTCACTTTTGGGGGGGAAAGCTACTAACGCAATTTATAAAACAAATTGTTTATTTATAGGAACAACAATAGAAGGAGAAGAAACGCTTTGTGCCTCTAAGAATTATTTCCAGAATCTGGCTCATCTAGAATTCAAGTAATCTTTTTAAATATTTTAAAATATGTTTTGATTACTCTGATCGAAGCTGACAAGAGAAGAAAAATTTTGTCACTTCAACCTCCCCATATAATTAGTAATTTCATATGAGGATTTTGAATGAAGAAGACAATTCAAGTACATTGGAGCGCCTAGAATATCCAACCTTAACAAGCAACCTTGCTTTAAATAGTCCAATACTACACTGAACATGCAACATATCAATTATGCAGTGTACTCTGTACAGTCCAATATTACAATGAACATGCAACATATTAATTATTCAGTGAACTCAGTGCAACTACTCTGTACAGTCCAATAATACAACGAACATGCAACATACCAATTATGCAGTGTACTCTGTACAGTCCAATATTACAATGAACATGCAACATAACAATTATGCAGTGTACTCTGTACAGTCCAATATTACAATGAACATGCAACATAACAATTATGCAGTGTACTCTGTACAGTCCAATAATACAATGAACATGCAACATACCAATTATGCAGTGTACTCTTTAAAGTCCAATATTACAATGAACATGCAACATAACAATTATGCAGTTTACTCTATCTGTGCAGTCCAATATTTCAGTGTATTCATCATAACTATTATTCAGTGTACTCTGTACACCGGTGCAGTGCACCACACAGACCCATTTCATACAGTAAATTGTTATATAAAACATCAAATACGCATATGATAGCTTAAATGTCGTCTTCTATTTAAAACCTTTATGTAACCACTGTGTCATATTGAATAAAAAATAAATGTCGTCTTTCTATTTCCAAGTGTAAGTTCTCAATTTTGAGAGAAAAACTTGACTTAAGGTTTAAAGTTCAGCTTGATGAAGATTTAAGAGCACTTTCTTATGAAAGTCCACTCAGAATTACACTAATAGTCTCTTTAATGATATAATTCAGACTGTTTGGATCCTCTGAGATGTATATTTCGAGTGAAGAGGAGGATGAGGAGGAGGAGGAGGATGGAGGAGAAGGAGGAGGACCAAAAATAAAACCAGAAATTTTATTTTTCTTTCTTCAGTTCTCTACTCAACTTGTTCAAATCTCACTTTATGTCAACTGCTCAAGGAATATTATTTTATCGTTCAGACATTTATCAAAAACTAGCTGAAGTGCCAGGTGCGGCGTCGTTATTATACAAGTTTCGAATTTAAAAATAATGGGGGAAGCAAAGGGGGGTGTTCCCTAAAAACTTTTAGAAGGATGTAAACAAATTAAGTGAAGAATACGAGTAAAATTAAATAAATAAAAAGTAATATCATTACTCAACAGGTTTATCAGCTCAGCATTCCTAGAGAAACTATTTCAAGAGAATACTTTAGTAAACTGCCAGAAGTTCTTCTTATCAGGGCCCTCATCTCTACCCCTAGATAGAGATACAGTAGATCTTGTTCTCTCTACTCTACCCTCCCTAAGGAGTATACATATATCCAGGTATATAGTCCTCCCTACTCTACCCTCCCTAAGGAGTATACATATATCCAGAAAATATTGAGAAAATTTGAATTGAAATGTGTTGATATAATGTTATCTAGATTTTGATACATTTATTCTTTCAACAAAACCATCAAATCTGTGATATTCTTAATGATATTTTATTGTAGGTGGGAGGGTATTACAGAGCGTATACTTGCAGACTACAAGAAATCTAGTAAACTGGATAATTTGGACATAGAATTCTTCTAATTTGGAGCTAGTAGCAGCCATATTCGATTAGAATTCTTCTAATTTGGAGCTAGTAGCGGTCTTATTCGAATAGAATTCTTCTAATTTGGAGCTAGTAGCAGCCTTAATCGATTAGAATTCTTCTAATTTGGAGCTAATAGCGGCCTTATTCGAATAGAATTCTTCTAATTTGGAGCTAGTAGCGGCCTTCTTTGAATAGAATTCTTCTTATTTGGAGCTAGTAGCGGCCTTATTCGAATAGAATTCTTCTAATTTGGAGCTAGTAGCAGCCTTATTCGATTAGAATTCTTCTAATTTGGAGCTTGTAGCAGCCTTCTTCTAATTTGGAGCTTGTAGCAGCCTTCTTCTAATAGAATTCTTCTTATTTGGAGCTAGTAGCGGCCTTCTTCGAATTGAATTCTTCTTATTTGGAGCTAGTAGAGGCCTTCTTCGAATAGAATTCTTCTTATTTGGAGCTAGTAGCGGCCTTCTTTAAATAGAATTTTTCTTATTTGGAGCTAGTAGCGCCTTCTTCGAATAGAATTCTTCTAATTTGGAGCTAGTAGCGGCCTTCTTTAAATAGAATTCTTCTTATTTGGAGCTAGTAGCGGCCTTCTTCGAATAGAATTCTTCTAATTTGGAGCTAGTAGAAGCCTTATTCGAATAGAATTCTTCTAATTTGGAGCTAGTAGCGGTCTTCTTCGAATAGAATTCTTCTAATTTGGAGCTAGTAGCGGTCTTCTTCGAATAGACCATAAAATTTTACCAATATGGTGTAAGTGTCTCTATTTAATTGATATTAAATCACAAGGTTTTGTAATTACCTTTCTTTGATTTCTGTAACATTGCAAGTATGTATTTAGTGCATTTTAGTTGATTGTTATTTGTATGTATTGAGATATTAATAAAACTGTTAAAATTAGGAATAAGTAAAAATCATAATTTCAGAAAAATGACGATTTTGAAGAGAAGCTTTTCTCCTTTAAAAATCCAGCATTTGTCGACCACTGTTATAAGTCATTTACCTGGAAAAAATACTTCAGCTGCTTCAGATCAAAAGCAGCAGAAATCTTCAGATTCTTCAAAGCATGCCAAAAAGAAATCTCTGAAAAAGATTCCAACTTATTTAAATGAAAGTGAATATATAAAGAAGGAATTGCCAAAACCATTTGGAAACTTTTTGCTCAACACTAGGAGAATACATTTTCATAATTTATACAAAATCGATTATATTTCTTCAACACTTCTTATTAACTGATCATGGCATAGCTAGCTTTCAAATTAATTTCCGTACTGGTTATTTTTGTTAACTGATGATTATAATTGTTATCATTAGTATTATTATTATTATTATTATTATTTTATTATTATCATTGTTATTACTATTATCTATCACTATCACTATCATTATCATTATCACTGTCATTTAACTATTACTGAGTATCACTATCACTAATATCATTATCACTATCATTATTATTATCATGATCATTATCATTAGCATTAGCATTTTTTTATTGTTATTATTATTTTTAATAACAATTTTTATTATCATTATTACTATGACGTCTCTATTTGAAAATGTTGTTATCATTAGTATTATTATTATTATTATTATTATTATTATTATTATCATTGTTATTACCATTATCTATCACTATCACTATCACTGAGTATCACTATCACTAATATCATTATCATTATCATTATCACTATCACTATCATTTAATTATCATTTAACTATTACTTTCACTATCATTATCATTTTTTTGTTATCATTATTATTTTTAATATCAATATGATTTTTATTTTCATTATTATTTTTATTATCATTATTACTATGACGTATCTTTATGAAAATGTTGTTCAGAATGAAAACTCATCAAGAACTCGAAGTTTCACCGTTAGAGTATTTACAAACAGGTTTAAACTTGTATAAGAATTATATTCATTATTAGTCATTTGTCTTGCATATTATTAACATTATTATTATTAAATACTTTGAAAATATTGTAAACGCTTGAAAACTATAAAATTTCAAATATTAAAGTTTTTAATTTACTGGGTTTTAATTTTTGGCAAAAAAAGTGTTAAAGCTTTGACTATTTGACTACCTGGAACTAAATGTCAGTTCTGTACAAAATCACGGTTTGGTATTTTCCTCCCCTGATATATTAAATACGGTTTATTCTCTAGTTTGTTCTGACTCTAGCATCCTTGTCAACCCAGATACAACAGATAGAATAGTCAACCTTATTCTCAACCATACTAGGAAGGTACACTCTACAATACGACAATACAAGCTTGCCTACCATAATATAAATGGAGTTAAAACATTTTATTAAGTTACGTTTAGTGAACCTTACATTTCTTCAATTTATACATTTTTTATTCACATTTGGTCATAACTATTTAGGTCAATCTATACAATTCGTCAACTGAGACAATGGCCATGAATTTGGTCAACTTTCTTAGAAAAAAAAATAATTCACTTAAGCATCAGCAATTCATTACGACAAATCCGCAAACATAGACACCCAATTTTTTAAAAATATTTTTACGTATTTGAAGCATTTCTTTACAGGGTATACAATACATATATAGATTGATATATGTGTTATAAGCCAACCTATTAATAAATTAAATAAAGAAGTACAATCTTTTTATACTTTGATAATAATTTATTTTTCATTTTCGCAAACATTCCTTTAAAAAGATTTTTTTTTCAGGGCCGGGAGACGATATTTTATGATAACATGACTGGGTTCTGCCTTATCTCTGCTGGAATTATAAAATCTAAAAAGTTTAAGAGAATAAAAATTCTTCCAACGGATCATTGTCTACAGCCTTTGATGCAGTTTTCATTGGATGAAAATATTCTGGATCGGAAATATTTTAAACTTCATCCGAGTACATTTAGGAAATAGCTAAATCAATTAATATCATAGATAATTAGAATTTTAATTTACTCAACTCAGATCATATTGATTGGTTTAATGCTTAAACTTTAAGTTTTTATTCAATTTTACCAGTTAATGTTTAATTTTTGTTGTTTTGTTTTTACAATAATTATTTGTTGATAAAAAACTGTAATGAGGTGTACTCTAGAATTTCACGATGTAGTTATTAAGTTATTTGTAATTTCCCCAGAACCAGTTACAGAAAAAAATGTCCAACAAAAATGCGTTAAGATCTTCTTACCCCGCCCCCCGGCGGTCATGCCCCACCCCCCTTAACTTACTAATCTCCTGTCCTCCAGGCTGATTAAAGGTTAAAGGCTGATTAATGAGTCAAAACATTAAATTCAAGGATTAAGTTCTGTACGATTAGATGTAGCAGTATTGCAGCTAAAGCTCTCCGTCTCGGTATCTTCCATCCAACCCCCTTCCTCCCCCTCAACCCACAACCTGGTTGGGATAAACAGTCTCCACCCTATACTCTAGGTACTAACTTATAGCTGAGATATTTTAGAAAAGTTTCTTATAGTTCTTCATCTCAGTGGAGATATGTTTTTTTCGCAAAAATATTTTATTGATAAAAGATTCATAGCTAACTAGAAAAAAATTATAAAATTACCTTTATCATAAAAGGATTTAGTATTTTTGTTCTTGTGATATAAAAATATTAACAAAATAATGTTACTAAAGCATCTATTTTGATAAAAACTTTGATAATAATGCTAATTATTTTATTGTGTTTAGTATCTACAGTATCTGATGGCTTTGTTAAATATCTTACAATGGCAGTTCTCTACAGAAAACAGGTGATCCAATATCATTATTCTTATTATTCCGTCCCTTAAATTGTCTCTGAAAAAAAATTGCTTTTGTGTCTCTGAAATTACCTAATACCTATCAATGAAAATTCTTCTTTTGTCTATGAATTTACCTATCAATGAAAATTCTTCTTTGTCTATGAAGTTACCTATCAATGAAAATTTTTCTTTGTCTATGAAATTACCTATCAATGAAAATTCTTCTTTGTCTATGAAATTACCTATCAATGAAAATTCTTCTTTGTCTATGAAATTACCTATCAATGAAAATTCTTCTTTACCTATGAAATTACCTATCAATGAAAATTCTTCTTTGTCTATGAAATTGCCTGTCTATGAAAAATCTTCTCTGTCTATGAATGATCCATCTATGAAATGCATAAAATGACCCAACACCGGTCAAGATAAGTTTATAAAGGAAATCATATGTTAACTATTGACATCTTAACAACGTCTTCAATTTTGTTGCAGTCAAGTCTTATTTAAAAATTATAGATTGATTTACCTTAAAAGTGTATTAGAATGGTATTTAATGTTTAGGGAACAAGTTTCACAGATTTCCGTGAGTGTAGACCTGAATTCTTCTTCTTTATGTCTGCTCCAACCTACTTCCATATTTGTGGTGGGGTGCCTGATATGTCCCCAGCCACACATCCTCTACCCCCTAGACTAATGCAGGTCAATCTTTATTTTTTATGATAAAAAATATTATATTTTAGTAAGGTTTTTCCATATTACTTTGGTTTACATGAGATAAATTGCAGTAATTATATAAGATCTTGCAATTGTTTTAGATAGGTTATATCAATATCATATTCTTATTTTAAAAAATATGAACTAAAAATATATTTTGTTACATTTATCAGAAGAAGCAGGAAAAAACCAAGATTGTGAATAAATTTAATATCAAGATAACAACATTATTCAGGTTCTTTTTATTATTTTTTTATTATTTCATTGTATAATTTATTTGTTTTATTTTATTATTAATGTTGTTATTTTAATTATTGTTCTTTATTAGAAAAAAGGAAACATTCTCATTGAAAGTAAAGTTTTTTCTGATGTTCTTTTTTCATATTTTCAGATTATTATTTGATTTTTACTTGATTGATACTCTTCCAGCCTCAAGCTTTCTTCCCTGGAGACAGAATAGGAACGTATACAATTTACATAAAAGTGATCGATAAAATAATAGTTGTAATGGGACCTTTATAGGTCCGTAAAACAGGATTCATCCAAGAACCAATTTGATTCAGGCTGTCTTATTACCTACCTGAACTAAAATTTTCAAAATTTTATTCAGGCTGCCTTATTACCTACCTGAACTAACATTTTCAAAATTTGATTCAGGCTGCCTTATTACCTACCTGAACTAACATTTTCAAAATTGAATTCAGGCTGCCTTATTACCTACCTGAACTAACATTTTCAAAATTTAATTCAGGCTGCCTTATTACCTACCTGAACTAACATTTTCAAAATTGAATTCAGACTGCCTAATTACCTACCTGAACTAACATTTTTAAAATTAGGGGGGAAATCAGCAACGGAACTGAGAAGAAGTTTTCGCTATTTATTAATTCTGACCTCTGATCAACCTAACTCTGACAATATTCTATCAAAATATATATATCTATTTTTTAAAAGTAATTAATGTATAATATAAAAGGGTTTCATCAGTGGGAGAAAAATCTAATTATGATAAGTATGCTGACCAGCAGCTGCTGGTTTATATTCGACCTAAACAGAATCCTGGCATTCATCTCTCCAATCCTGCTCATCTTCAATACTTTATAGAGGTACACAGACACTACACTACACTACACTAAACTACACTACACTACACTACACTACACTACACTACACTACACTACACTACACTACACTACACTACACTACACTCCACTACACTACACTACACTACACTACACTACACTACACTACACTACACTACACTACACTACACTACACTACACTACACTACACTACACTACACTACACTACACTACACTACACTACACTACACTACACTACACTACACTGCACTGCACTGCACTGCACTGCACTGCACTGCACTGCACTGCACTGCACTGCACTGCACTGCACTGCACTGCACTGCACTGCACTGCACTGCACTGCACTGCACTGCACTGCACTGCACTGCACTGCACTGCACTGCACTGCACTGCACTGCACTGCACTGCACTGCACTGCACTGCACTGCACTGCACTGCACTGCACTGCACTGCACTGCACTGCACTGCACTGCACTGCACTGCACTGCACTGCACTGCACTGCACTGCACTGCACTGCACTGCACTGCACTGCACTGCACTGCACTGCACTGCACTGCACTGCACTGCACTGCACTGCACTGCACTGCACTGCACTGCACTGCACTGCACTGCACTGCACTGCACTGCACTGCACTGCACTGCACTGCACTGCACTGCACTGCACTGCACTGCACTGTACTGTACTGTACTGTACTGTACTGCACTGCACTGCCCAGTGAGTGTTTTTGGGTTTTATTGGGGTTTTTTTGTGGGTTTTTTTCGGGGTTTTCCAGTTGAAACTAATTAAAACCTTCTAAAATTCATAATAATTTATAATAATAAGAATTTGAGCGATAGTTGAACTTTATAGTTTTAAAAAATAATAAGGTTGTTGTGAAAATAGGTTATTTAATATGTAGTTTAGTGACCTAGCTCAAATACATTAAATTTGGTCCAGGTTCTGATGAGAAAGAAGAAGTCTGTAACTGTTTTACCGATCCTTGAATCCTGGATGCCAGGTTTAGGTCAGGAACTGATACGACTCAACCACTCCGTGTTTACTACTCCTGCAGACCTTAAACTCTCCGACCTAGTTCATCTGTTCAACCATCTGGTTCAGCATCAACTCTTCAAGAACTCGTCTTTTAAAGCCGCGGCAGAGACAGCAGAACAGTTTACTCAACAAGGAACTGGAGATAATGAAAAGGAAATAGATAAAGCGAAGAAAAGGTAATTTCTAAAATTTCAAAAACTTGATGAACCATTCAGAAATAAGGAAATTTTTATTATTCTCTTTTTTCAATAGATTTGGGTTTTGAGTGTAGAACATTTATTTTTGCGTTTTTGGTTGATATTTTGCCTTTTGGATCCGGATCCGTGGATCCGCATTTTTTTGCGGATCCGGATCAAAACTATCAAACAGTTTGGTGGGAGGGGAGTAGAGTGGATTGGAGGTTGAGTGGATGTTACATAATGATTTCTTATTACTCTGAATTTACGAGTAATTTGAAACCAAGTTTCATATTTTTTCATTTATCACAAAATACCGTTTGTTTAGAATGTTGCGCAAGCTAAGGAAACGCTCAGCACCAGAATCTTTAGTAAAGTTGTAATCTAGTAAAATTTAAATTAGTTTTTAAGATCTAGACTTTTTTATTGGAAGTACTTATGTATTAAATGTACGTACTATAGTACACAGGGTTACCCACAAAGAATGAGACTTTAGGCACGATTGTATCATTAAATGCTCATCCTGTATGGGTAACACACACACGTGTGAAAAAAAGTAGAATCAAAGAAGAATATCACCTATTAATGAAGGCTGTGAAATATTGTATTAAATCAATAAAATCTTTCAATTTTTAGTAATTGTTTCTTTGTATACAGAAATTGCAACCTCCATACTGTCGAAAACTTGTAAAATCACCACTTGAAGCTATAATGATATAGAATATTTTAATATTTTGTCGTTTTTAAAATTTTAGGTAAAAAATTATATTAAAGATTATAGATATTTTCAGAGGACGGAATTTTTGTGTAGATTATCGTTAATCTTGAACACTTGATCTCGATTTATAACAAGGGCACTTTTAACTAAGGATTAATGCTTGATCCGTAAATTTATATCCCTGCACTTGCAGGGTATGAACAATAGAGGATAGTAAAAGGGAATTAAATTAGACAGAGATCAATGCTTGATTTATTTATTTATTGATTGTCGATTTATTTATCTGTCTTCCAGCTTATCTTTCTGTCTTCCAGTTTATCTATCTGTCGTCCAGTTTATCTATCTGTCTTCCAGTTTATCTATCTGTCTTCGAGTTTATCTATCTGTCTTCGAGTTTATCTATCTGTCTTCCAGTTTATCTATCTGTCTTCCTTTTCCAGTTTATCTATCTGTCTTCCAGTTTATCTATCTGTCTTCCAGTTTATCTATCTGTCTTCCAGTTTATCTATCTGTCTTCCAGTTTAACTATCTGTCTTCCAGGTTATCTATCTGTCTTCCAGTTTATCTATCTGTCTTCCAGTTTATCTATCTATCTTCCAGTTTATCCATCTGTCTTCCAGTTTATCTATCTGTCTTCCAGTTTATCTATCTGTCTTCCAGTTTATCTATCTGTCTTCCAGTTTATCTATCTGTCTTCCAGTTTATCTATCTGTCTTCCAGTTTATCTATCTGTCTTCCAGTTTATCTATCTGTCTTCCAGTTTATCTATCTGTCTTCCAGTGTATCTATCTGTCTTTCTGAACCTTATCTCTGTATCTGCTAATATATCTATTTTTCTGCACATCTATCTATTTTCCCATATATCAATCTGTCTGCCCATCTATTTATCTATCTGCCAATATCATCTATCTGCCTGTCCATTTATCTATCTATCTTTACCCTTATCCAACTATTATCTATCTATCTTTTACGCCTTTTTAACTATTTATCTATCTATCTTTACGCTTATCTAACTATTTTCTATCTATCTTTTACGCCTATTTAACTATTTATCTATCTTTACGCCTTTTTAATTATTTGCCTACCTATTTTTACGCCTTTTTAACTATTTATCTATCTATCTTTACCCCTATTTAGTTATTTAACTATCTATCTTAACTCCTATTTAACTATTTATCTATCTATTTTTACTACTATTTAATTATTTACCCATCTATTTTTACACCTATTTAACTATTTATCTATCTATCTATCTACGCCTATTTTAACTATTTTGCTATCTATTTTTTCGCCCATTTAACTAGTTATCTATCTATCTTTATGCTTTTTAAACTATTTTTATATCTATTTTTACGTCTATTTAACTATTTATTTATCTATCATAACGCCTATTTAACTATTCATCTGCCTATCTATCTATCTTTCTGTCAATCCTTCTATCTGTAGCTATGCATCTCTACCTAGCCACCTGTATATCGATAACCTAGAGACAGAGTACAAAACTTTTGTATCTTTATCTGTGATTACGGTAAAACATTAAGTATAGGATACCTCAATATCCCCCCTCACCCCCCCCCCACACTCTGGAACGAGAGAGCTGCAACTTTTCTAAGGGGCTTAGATCCCTTGGCACCCCATGAATACTACTTTTATATATCTATCTATCTTTGTTCTATGTCTCAGTCTATCCCTCATTTATCCATATGTCTACCCTCTATCTATCTATCTATCTACCCTCTATCTATCTATCTATCTATCTATCCATATATCTACCCTCTATCTATCTATCTATCTGGACCGGAAGTATATTTAAACCCTGTTGCTTGAGGCAGATTTTGGACAATGGAGAAATCACAGAACTCACATACTCTTCCTTATACAGACATTTACACCTTTTATACGAGTATAGAGGGGCAACAGGGGTATTTTGATAAGGAGGGGGGGGGGGCCGGGGGGATAGAGCTTGTTATGGGTTTAAAAATTGATCATTCGTGAATTTAAGAAAGAAATCTTAGAATTTGAATCTTTTATAAACATAATCATATCATTTTTCACACTTTCTCCTCATTTTGCTCTAAAATTCTCCTTCAGCTGTCTTTCTCATGTTTTTTTTTAATATAAAAGCTTCTTTATTCAAGATCATTTTTAGCTGATGGATAGATAGATATTTCCATTTATTCAAAAATAAAATTTAAACTTAAACAATTTATAATATTTTTATAAATGATGAATATAAATTGATAAATTGCCATTTAATTGAGTATTTATTTTACAATAATATTAAATTTATTAAAAATTATTTTTAACATCAAAATTTAGATTATATAATTTGCTCACACAAAAAATAAGGAACTAGAATAAATTTGGCAAATGGTCCAACTCGTGATAATATAGAATAAATATTTTAATATACATTATATATATCTACAATATATCTATGAATAGTTGGGAGTTTTTGATCTCTTGGTTTGGTTTGGTTTGGTTTGGATTTCAGAATAATGTATAATATCTTTCTTTTTCAAAAGAAATATTTTAGAAGCCCCTTCTTCTTCTTCTTTTTAGGTTGACTGCTGAAGAAAAGAAAATTTTATTTCATGTTTTAAATAAATCGGATTTTTTTCGTTAAAAAATATTAGGTATCTACCTAGAGTATATTCAATTGAAACAATCTTTTTTATTAAAAATCAAAAATTCTATTTTTCATCAGAAAAATTCAGGAGAATGACTTTAAAATTTATTGCAATTTCAATTTAGAGTAGAAGAGACTTCATGTATGAAGACCTATTTTTAATCACTTCTCCTTTTATAGAGCAGCAAGTCGGATTCACATCGATACCATTAAAAGCTTTGACTGATCAAGAATCCATAATTTGATTGTGGTTTCTATATACAAGTGGCTTGCGGATTTCTTACTCATAAACATCGGAGAAAATTGTGAGAATTGAACATTTTTGAAGCTTGAAAAACGAAGAAATATTTTAGATTATTGATGAGATAAATGTTGATCAGGGTACAGTTGTGAATAAAATAACAACGGCAAGCCATTCAAGGAAATTTTTCTTGAACGACTAATTTTTTCAGTTTATAAATTTTCAGATTTTTAACATTTTCTTTCCTTGGATGAATCAAAGACACAGGTCCTGCATGGGATCCTAAACCTCTCATCTCTCCTAAAAAATAAGATATTCTTTACTTTTCAGAAAATAAAAGAATTCTGACGATTATCTCATGGGTTGAGGTGTGGGAGGTCTGGAAATTAGTGAGATTTATAAGATGTGAAGAATTATTTGAACATTTTTGGTTTATTAAGCGATACAAGTCAATCAAAAATTAAAGTTTGACTCGGAGCCCGGTTTAGGAGGCTCGAAGAACCCTCTTTTGAATCCGGAAGCTTGGTGGAGACCATTTCGAGGGACTCATAGCGGCTCTTCACCCTCTCCCTCATGGGTTGAATGGTTTGCAGTTTCGAAAATTAATAATTTTTTTGTCATTAAACGAAATTCAAAAGTTTAACAACACCAAATAAATTATTCAACGATTGATAGTATTTATGTTAGGTTGTCAAGATTATCAATGCGACATAACTTATTATTCTTAATTGATTAATTTTTGTTAGATATAAAAAATACTTTGAATCCAGGGGCATATTCAGGGGGGTGCTATGGGGGCTAAGCCCCCCCCCCCTGGACCAGTGAAATCTAATGATTTCAGGGGGTTTTCAGTCCCCAACGGGTGCTGAGCCCCCCCTGGAAAGATAAAAAATTTAAGCCCCACCTGGACAAATTCCTGAATACGCCCCTGGTTGAATCAATTAAAAAGATAAAAAGTATTACTAGAAGCGGGATATGAACGCTTATCATAATATTGTGTTGTACTTCCAGACTATAAAAGATTAATAAACCTGAAATCCCTTGGTTAGGAGAGAACCCAGAGAAGGAGCATGGACCTGAAATATATCAAAACTAAAGATTGAAAACTATTTTAACATTTTATAAAAATATAAACTGATGGTATATTCGGATTGAGGTAGACCAGGACAATAATATTGTCAAAGAGGGTTCTGTAGTCAGTATAAGTCAATATTCCTTACTGTAATTGATACATATAGGAGGGGGTAGTCCGGACTATTTAATACATGTAGGAGGGGGTAGTCCGGACTATTTAATACCTGTAGGAGGGGGTAGTCCGGACTATTTAATACCTGTAGGAGGGGGTAGTCCGAACTATTTAATACCTGTAGGAGGGGGTAGTCCAAATTGTTTCTCTGGAAAGACTGGATAACCAAACCTATTATATCTAAAAAAAAATATTAAAATCTTACTCTTGGAATCAGTAATAATCAGTATAAATAGGACACCCTGTAAACAGTATAAATAGGACACTGTAAACATTATTAATAAGAAACCTTGTAAACAGTAAAATTACATCACCCTGTAAACATTATTAGACACCCTGTAAACATTATTGATTTGACACCCTGTAAACACTTTAAATAGCATACCCTGTAAACAGTATAAAAAGGACACCCTGTAAGCAGTAAAGCTAGGACACCCTGTTAACAGTATAAACAGGACATCCTGTAAGCAGTAATGCTAGAAAACCCTGTAAACAGCAAAGCTAGGACACCCTGTAAACCGTAAAGCTAGGACACCCTGTAAACCGTAAAGCTATAAAACCCTGTAAACAGTAAAGCTAGGAACCCTGTAAACAGTAAAGCTAGGAACCCTGTAAACAGTAAAGCTGGGACACCCTGAAAATATTATTAATGGGACACCCTGTAAACAGTATAAATAGGACAGTAACAGTAACAGTAAAGCTAGGGCACCCTGTATGCAGTAAAGCTAGGACACCCTATAAGGGTGTACCTGGACGGAACCCCGTGATGCCAGGGTGAGGTGGGGGCGAATGGATAACTATCTAAACTTGTTGTGATAGATTCTCTATCCTCGTTCATCCGAATCCTAGGTAAAAAATAAAACATTAGTCGAAACCAAGAATACTAAGAATTGTTTTTGTCTCTAGAAGATAAATTACGTCAATCCATCTCGTTTAGTTGTATTAGTGTATTAGATCTTTACAGTCGTTTTTAATTACATAAAGTAACTTATAATTAAAAAAGAAAAAGAAAAAATATCTTAAACACAAGCATAAAAATAGGGTGCCGCAAAAAATTGATTGCAAGTTAAATCCTTTATCATGTACATTGGTAATGAAGATATTCTAGTTTTTCTCTCTAATAATTGTGAACTTTTATTTGTAGCTTTTCTGTAGAATTTTACTTTAATAAAGGAATCAAACATTCAATCTCAAATTTAAAAGTGGCCACATTCTCCATTTTCGGAATAAAAAACTTACTTTGCAAGTATTTGTTGACTAGAGTTCTGTTTTCCCCGAACTATTTCCTTCTTCTTGTTCTTGTTCTTCTCCCTCTCCTCGTACCCGACCATCCTACCCTTCACCGTGGTCAGGGAAGCAGGGGAGTTCATCGATACAATCTAGATAGATATATAGATAGATAGATAGATAGATAGATAGATAGATAGATAGATAGATAGATAGAAAGATAGATAGATAGATAGATAGAAATGCAAAAATACAGATTCAACACTCCTGGTTTTACGCGAAATTTCACTTCGTTTTCGCATTTTTAGCTTCATCCATTTTCGATAAAAAATGCGAAATTTCGCGAAAAAGTTACCGAAAATTTTTGCAAACGTTTTGATTCGATCGCTGCAAACCCTAGTTCAGGGACATCCAAATAGACTAATAAACAGATTACTACTTTTATAAATATAATGTATAGATGAATATCAAAGAAAAGTAAACTTCACTTTCATTGTTCAACCTTGAAACCTTCAACCGTCCTATCTTCAAGTCAATTATTAACCACAAACCATTACCAAACTTTATATACTGGCCTTTAGGGCGCTTCGCGCCCCTTCACTTTTTATAATTGCAACTGTTGCTTTTCAAGTTTTTCTTAGTTCTCCAAAAAACAAGATTACCATACTTTATATATATATAGAATCCAGCTTTGACTGAAGTATTTCTTTCAATAGTCAACCTAATAAACTTGTAACTTTTAAACCTAGCTCTAAAATCTCTGTGGTTCTACCGAGAAATTTGAGGCAAATCGGTCCTGGGGTTTAAATTTCACAAGAAGGAGATAATTTATTTGGTATATAAGTCCCGTCTGAATACCCTAGCTGCCAAAAAGTCGTTCCATGATATTTTAATGCACCGTAATGAAGTTCACAGTGATGTAAAATAGCAATATCTTTTTTATTTGCATGTCCGATCATAACTCAGGAACCTCAGGACCAATTTGCCTCAAATTTTGATTGTGGTACTCGTTAAACCCACGGGAATGGATGTTCTTATCTTGGTTTAAAATTCTAAATTAAGTTTGTTGACTTTCAATTATAAAGAAATTTTAGCTTCCAGTCAGCGTTGGGTTCCCAAACTAGTATTGTTACAAATTGTACATAAAGTACAAACAGAAGCATTAAAAACATGCAGAACTTTATTATTTTTTGCATTTTTTCAACTTTTCTCAATCTTAAACATTATTTTCCTAATTAAATGTTCTTTTTTACATAAAAAAGAAAATTACATTTGTCTGAATAATTTATAAATTAGCAAGTTTTATCATTTGTATGCACTAGTGCATAGTTGCATAAAGAATATGTCATTTGTAATTTGCATTGTGCAATTTGTATATATATATATATATTCATTCATTATAAATTAGACGGTTATCTAAATAATAAAGCTCTTCGCTCATTTATATGTTCGCTATATAGTCAACCACGTTTGCGACCAAAAAAATGATTTTAAATGCTAATACGCGAGCTTTTGTCGCTTATTTGGAAGCAATTCACCCATTTGTTGCTGCCAAATAAAAGATTTTTTTATTTCTTAATCTAGAGTGTATTTACAGGGGGGATAATTGTTGACTACCTGGGCAGCTATTTAGCTTGAGTTTAAACTTTAAACATTTTACTAATATAGGATATAAAGAGTTTACGGCCTAATCTCGAAGTACACACATCAAATATGCAGTACGCTTTAGAAGTGTTTGGGGAGGTCTTGTATCTTGAATTTTACTTAGGTTACTCAGAATCGTTTGTAAACAATAAAGTATTGCTAAGTTAAAGATTGTTTCAGCACGTCCATAGAGAATAGAATATATAGAGAGGAATTAAAAGAATCTCTCGGTATGAATTTTTTCAGTCCCTTTCAGCCTGAAAGGGAGTTCAAAGTGTACAAATCGTGTAAATGTTCACACATTATATGCAGTAGAGTACATTAATACAGTATGTGCCCTAGACTATCCATTTTAATTTCGAATTTTTTAAACTGTTAAATAAAATCATCGTTTGTTAAGTGGAAGGCATAGAGTCTATGTGAAATGATCATTGGTCAATTGTGAAACCAGCCTATTTCATAATTTGGTTTTCTTTTAACAATAATTTTAGATTTTCTATATAATGATATTCCAGGGCCCAACAGGTTATATAGCATAAATATGTGAAGTACACCTGCAGTATGGAAACAGTTCAACAAAATGGTCGTTATACACTTTTTTCTAGTAAATTCCTCTCTATATATTCTATTCTCTATGAGCACGTCTCTTTGTAAAAATATTATATTGCGTTTTGTGAGAGCAGTGGTTAATAAATGTTTATTCAGTCCCTTTTCAGTTTTTTTATTGTAAAACATTTTCTGTTTGAGCGAAATTAGGTTTCAAGACAGACAGGGGCGTATACAGGAATATGTAGAGGGGGGGAGTTTAGTCAAGTCTGAATACTCTCCTAGTATCAACACTTTTCTTTATCCAGAGTGGCGGGGCTTGGTCCGCATAGCCCCCCCCCCCTAAGTCCACGCCCCTAAAGACAAACATATAAAATAAAACCTCTAGGATTTCCCGGTAGATTTTCTTTGCTTCATCTTCATCATCATCTTCTTTAGATTCTTCCAGCTCTCTAAATAGGATTTATTAAATTATTGCATTATTATGATTGTAATTGAAAAAACAATTTTCTTTTGATGATTAAACGTTAGACTGTAATCTTCCCAGTTTTCTATCCTATCTCCTTTTATTGAAAAGTTATTTAGAAGAACGAAAATGTTTTGTATTTCTAATATTTAACCAAATAAATTTGCTCTCTCTCATACAGAAGGCAGATCTAGAGAAGCTACAGCACCATCGTTTCAGTAGAAGTAAATATTTCCATTTACTGATAGCACCGATTCAAGGATTCATAACTCTAATTGGATCGAGATAGATAGAAAGATAGATGTTACCGCCAAACTATTTCTATTGGTTCACAATAGACATCAAACACATGACTGAACCCTGATTGGATCAGGCGCTAATGGACTCGGTATACAGGAGTGACTGGTCACAAACCCTTACCAATAATGTCGCATAAAGGAATTGAGTCTTTGCCACACACTTAAAATTTATAATCCTTTTATCTTTGCAATCTGATGGTGTAAACCTTTGATACTTCAAAATTTCATCTAACAGAATTAATAGTTAAAAATATCCAAGGCCTCCAGCATTGGGCTTGCAAAGATATAGTGATTATATAATCAGAGTTTGGGGCAAAGACTCAATTTCTTTAAGCTTCCTTTAGTTTTTCAATAAAACGGCTATTTACACATTTTTATCTGATATTTCAAATTGAAATGTATTTTAGAGATGTAGGTCAAAAGAACCATTTAAGAGAATTTAAATGTTTTTTAAAATTTTCTTCTCGATAATTAATCCCAAAAAAACGAATTGATAAAGTATTCAATAAAAGGTAGTTAAATAAATGAAAATGATTTGACTCCGAAGAAGAATTTGAAGAAATTAAAAATTTAAAGAAGAAAGTACATATGCAGGCATGTGTTTATGTTGAAGGTTAGTTTGATTGTATATGCAGGCGTCTACAGCAATTAGTATGTTTCTCTTTTATATTTCTTATGCATATATTATTTAGTGTAATAATACCCCAGGGGGTCCAGTACAGGATGTTCTTGAGAAAGTGAACTGTATTTCTCAAAGATTTATGAAACATATTAATAGTGATTTAATAGAATAAACTATTCGATTCACTATAGTACACATTCCACAATGTATTAAAAGGTATTCTTAGAAGTGAGGTGCAGCTATTGGATGTAACATTTTTGCAGAATAAATTATTTCTATTTGATGTTTCTTTTCAGATTCTCTTTTCAAAAAATTTCGATAGAAATATAATTAGTACCCATGGAATTATATTTCAAATATGTCGCAATCAAATATCCCTTTCTGTGATCTGTTTGTGATTAATTCATTTTAAAAAAAAATTCCTCAACCGTTGAGTTGATAAAATATAAAATAAATTCATCTAACCTTTCCATCAGTTTCCTTTCCCTTTCTCTCTGTCTATCTAGTTCACTGGCTCGAGTTATTTCCTGTAAAAATATAATAGCTTTCATCTCAATTAAACCGTGAACAACAAAACGATTTGATTTTTCTTGTTGCCAGAGTTTAAATTAGTTGCAAAAAATGTTTTACCTTGACGAATTCAGAGACGGGCGGACGATTTTTTAAAGCTTCCTTTAGCGTCTTTGTTGGTATCAGATCATCCTAGAGAATACAGAAAGTACATCGATGATAGCAAAAGAACATGGATCATAAGCTAGCATACTTATGTGACATGTCATGTTATTGTATAATTTTTAACAGTTGTCATTTTGTAAACAAAGAAAAATATGGCGGAACCATCGTTCCAAAAACGTTAAAAAACGTGAATTTGTTAGGGATTAAAAACTAGATTCATTATCCAGGGGCGATTACAGGACTGAGCCAAGGGCCGAAAATTAAAAAAAAATATGATTTATGATTTATAACAGGAGAAAAAATGTGACACAAAAACTATTAAATTTTAAACATGAACATTATATAACTACACCCGCCCTAATAAATTCCTGTATCCGCCTTTGTCAATACCTCATCTGATCCCATATATCCGCCCCTGTCAATACCTCCTCTAATCCCATATTTCCGCCCCTGTCATTACCTCCTCTAATCCCATATATCCACCCCTGTCAATACCTCCTCTGATCCCATATATCCGCCCCTGTCAATACCTCCTCTGATCCCATATATCCGCCCATGTCAATACCTCCTCTAATCCCATATATCCGCCCCTGTCAATACCTCCTCTAATCCCATTTATCCGCCCCTGTCAATACCTCCTCTATTCCCATATGTCCGCCCCTGTCAATACCTCCTCTGATCCCATATATCCGCCCCTGTCAATACCTCCTTTAATCCCATTTATCCGCCCCTGTCAATACCTCCTCTATTCCCATATATCCGCCCCTGTCAATACCTCCTCTGATCCCATATATCGGTTGGAGTTGACCCAAACACTTCTCCGTCCTGATCCTTCATTATTATTCATCCCTGATCCTCTCCTCTCCTCCTCATCATTCTTTCCTGATCCTCGTCGATCCTCGCTCACTGATCCACTGCCCTCGTCCCGTTCATCCCTCTCCGACCCTCTTCTTCTATCCTCTCCTGATCCTCTCCTGAGCACCTCCTTCTCTGAACTCCTCCTCTCGGAATTCCTAAGTTCCTCTAAACGTCCTGAATCCTTGGGTTTAGTATAATCCCGTCCACCCCTCCCCTCTCGTAGGGAGGAATTCCGGGAGTCCCGAGGGGAGTTCTTCGGAGGCACCGGAGCCGGAACGGATTTTATCGGAGAACCTTTGGAGCTAACCTGTAACATCATAAAAACATAAAGTTAAAAAAACTATTTAAAAAATTTAGATTAAAGTTTGAAATATGATTGGTGCCAAATTTAAGATTTCACGCACTGTGAGTTTGTTTCTGTGAAAATGTAGTGAATGAAGCGTGAAGGTATAAATATATGTATTCAAGGGCATGGTTAACTCTGTTTAGAAATACAAAAGTTGCACTTGAATCTCATCTTGGGAGGTAGTTTTAAGGAGCCGCCGGTTGGGATGATGTTTAGAGGGATTGAAAAGCTGCTATAACTATAATAATACCCTAATAGTTGAACCTTTAAATACTTTTAAAGATTATAAACTTAATAACAAAAATAAAATATGAGGTTGCAAAGAAATAAGGATTCGTAAATGCGAGCGTGATTTGGTAATTAATTTCTTTCTTTACTAAAATAATTCAACCAACGTGTATAAATTACTAATTACCTCAACATCGTAATCTGGGTCGGGAATAACTGGAGGTCTTATCACTCCAGGAGTCTTTGGGACTCCAGTGGTCCTAGAGGCGCCAGCACTGTGCGAATTTCTTCTCTCTCGGCTGAAACATCAATATTTGGGATATTTTTTACAATATTTTTGTTTTATCAGGGAACTAAACAGTTTTAATTTAAATTGACTGCATGCAGAAAATTTGTTTTATAATTCTTCTCTAAAATAAATCTTCCTAAATTTCAAACCTATTGTCATCAAACAATGATATGATTTAACATGTTTGTCTTAAGCAGGGTTACCCACCAAGAATGAGTCTTTAACACCAAATTATTTTTGATCTTGTAAATGCTTAAATGAAACGAAAAGAAAAGAAAATTGTAAACACAACAATCATAATACAGTTGTTTCTGAAGTCTATTTATTTGTTAATTCTGTAAATGCCCTTTATTTTTGTTTAACATTACCTCGGAGAGGAAGTTCCTTTGATATTGATATCCAGCATAGAACTGTGTTTCTGTAGTAAACTTGTTTCTTTAGTTTTAACCTCTGGTAGAGGATTAGGATTGGATTGTTTAGTTTCTCCGATACCTTTACCATCCTTGGTTACTGGACTAGTTGACTTAGATATCTGCTGGCTACCACAGTGGGCACAGGTTGCACAGGGGGCTTTATACTTCTAAAATATAAAAACAGTAAGAAAGAGACAAGGAAGCATTACACATCATGTTTTAAAATAATTTAGGATATCTAAACAATTTAAAATAACATTCCAAAAATAAAATAAAAAGTATTCGGTAATAAAGATTTGATTAATTTAAAATCCAAAATGGCTACCTTCTTTTTAGTTCTAATTTCTCCCGTCGGGGTAGACTTTTTAGCCCCCGTTGCAGAGGACTTTGATCCTGTCGGGGAGGACTGTGAGGTCCCTGGAGAGGACGAAGAGGTCATTGGAGACGGGTTCGAGGTTCTTGTTGAGGGTTGCGAGGTTCTAGGAGAAGAGTTTGCGCTCTGAGTTCCTAGTCCGGAGCTCGATGAATCTCCGATCTTTTAAATAAATATATTTCTAGGTTAGTTATTTATATTTCAATGTTTGGTTTTCTTTTTCAATGTTGGTATTTCTATTGCAATATTGGAAATTTCCATTACAATCAGGTATTTCAAGGTTAGGCTTTTCAATGGCAATGTTAGGTATTTCTATTTCAATATTAGATATTCCTATTCCAATGTCAGGTATTTTTATTGTAATGTTGGATATTTCTATCTCAATGATATTTCTATTACCTTATCCTGCCATGTTTCTAATCTAGTATTCCCAGGACTGTATTCCTCACCCATCCTTCGTACGTCAGGTTTCATTTCAAATATTTCAAATTCACGCAGACGTATAAATATTAACTTAATTACTTTGATTTATGCCATTACAGGGACTGTTGACATAAATATTAACTTAATTACTTTGATTTATGCCATTAAAGGGGCTGTTAGCATAAATATTAACTTAATTACTTTGATTTATGCCATTAAAAGGGCTGTTAACATAAATATTAACTTAATTACTTTGATTTATGCCTTTAAAGGGACTGTTAACATAAATATTAACTTAGTTACTTTGATTTATGCCATTAAAGGGGCTGTTAACATAAATATTAACTTAGTTACTTTGATTTATGCCATTAAAGGGGCTGTTAGCATAAATATTAACTTAATTACTTTGATTTATGCCATTAAAAGGGCTGTTAACATAAATAATAACTTATTTATTTTGATTTATGCCATTAAAGGGGCTATTAACATAAATATTAACTTAATTATTTTGATTTATGCCATTAAAGGGACTGTTAACATAAATATTAACATAATTACTTTGGTTTATGCCATTAAAAGGGCTGTTAACATAAATATTAACTTAATTACTTTGGGTTATGCACCATTAAAGGGACTGTTAACATAAATATTAACTTAATTATTTTGATTTATACCATTAAAGGGGCTGTATCAAGTTGTCAACATAAATTTTTGTGACTGTCAAATCAAAAAGTTGCATGTCCGATTCATGATTTGTAATTTTCCTTCTTGTTTTCTGCTGCAGAAATCCGCAAGTCACTTTTAACTTTAGAAAAACTTGAAGAAGAAAAACAAGAAAATCATTTTTGCTCTGACGAAGGTTCTCTTTAAATCAGGAGATATCTAATAAACCAAAGTTTCGTGCATTTTCTAATTTTTTTGGAGGAAATCTTTCCTGGGATATTGACCGTCCTGTTGAAGCAGTTTTAAGAGCAGATTTTCCTGCAGGCTCCCATATCCGCTCCCATCTAAATATATATAAATATCAAGCTCCCATATCCGCTCCCATCTAAATTTATATAAATATCAAGCTCCCATATCCGATCCCATCTAAATATTTATAAATATCAAGCTCCAGTAAACGCTCCCAATTAAATTGAACTTCCAGCTAGGCTCCAATATTGATTCATAGGATGTAATATGAAGCAAATGATAAATATACAAGAATACTAGAATACTTCATGATTAATAGTTATTTAAATAGAAAAGAAGCTTCTATACCGCTCCCATCTAGACGTTTATAGAAAACAAGCTCTTATACCAGCTCCCATTTAGATATTTATAGAAAACAAGCTCCTATACCCGCTCCCATTTATATATTGATAGAAAACAAGCTCCTGTACCCGCTCCAATTTAGATATTAATAGAAAACAAGCTCTTATACCCGCTTCCATTTATTTATTAGTAGAAAAGCTCCTATACCCGCTCCGATTTAGATATTTTTAGAAAACAGGTTCATATACCCGTTCCATTTATATATTGATAGAAAACAAGCTCCTATACCCGCTCCCATTTAGATATTAACAGAAAGATATTGCTATAATGTCGTCTTCCTAGTCCTTTGTTTCCTGGTTATCACTATTTCACATTTAAAATTTCGTAATAAAAAAAATTATTGAGCTGTTTTTCACTATTGCAGTATAATATGATTAAAACTAAACAATCTAAAAATATATTATATTGTTGTGACTGAACAAGAGGTTTAAGGTACAGCAGTAAACTAAGTTCTAATTCAAGTTTATAAAATAAATTAATATTCTAGTCAGGTCTCATGTTGACAAACTCAAACTAAACAGGGTGTCACAGAAAAAATCACTCAAAACTATATTTCTCATTTTATTTCTTTAAAAAACCACAGTTCTGTTGTTGATTATCTCGGAGATATTTAAAAAACAAAACTTTCATCATAAGAAAAAAAATCTCTCATTTACGGACATTGAACAATTATACATACATCAATGTTGTTTATTTCTAGACTACTTTATATGAGTGACCCTTTGCCTTTATCTAATTGAATATGGTTCTTCTTAGACATGAATGATTAGAAAGAAAATAAGTTTTATTAGATGTTTATTTTGTTACACCCTGCCTGCCTGAGTAAGACTAGCATAGGCGCAGGAGATGTTTATTTTGTTACACCCTGTCTGAGTAAGACTAGTATAGGAGATGTTTATTTTGTTACACCCTGCCTGAGTAAGACTAGTACAGAAGATGTTTATTTTGTTACACCCTGTCTGAGTAAGATTAGTATGGAAGATGTTTATTTTGTTATACCCTGCCTGAGTAAGACTAATACAGAAGATGTTTGTTTTGTTACACCCTGTCTGAGTAAGACTAGTATAGGAGATGTTTATTTTGTTACACCCTGCCCGAGTAAGATTAGTACAGGAGATGTTTATTTTGTTACACCCTGCCCGAGTAAGACTAGTACAGGAGATGTTTATTTTGTTACACCCTGCCTGAGTAAGACTAGTACAGAAGATGTTTATTTTGTTACACCCTGTCTGAGTAAGACTAGTATAGGAGATGTTTATTTTGTTACACCCTGCCCGAGTAAGACTAGTATAGGCGCAGGAGATGTTTATTTTGTTACACCCTGCCTGAGTAAGACTAGTAAAGGAGATGTTTATTTTGTTACACCCTGCCTGCCTGAGTAAGACTAGTATAGGCGCAGGAGATGTTTATTTTGTTACACCCTGCCTGAGTAAGACTAGTACAGGAGATGTTTATTTTGTTACACCCTGCCCGAGTAAGACTAGTACAGGAGATGTTTATTTTGTTACACCCTGCCTGAGTAAGACTAGTACAGAAGATGTTTATTTAGTTACACCCTGTCTGAGTAAGACTAGTATAGATGATGTTTATTTTGTTACACCCTGCCCGAGTAAGACTAGTACAGGAGATGTTTATTTTGTTACACCCTGCCTGAGTAAGACTAGTACAGGAGATGTTTACTTTGTTACACCCTGCCTGAGTAAGACTAGTATAGGAGATGTTTATTTTGTTACACCCGGCCCGAGTAAGACTAGTACAGGAGATGTTTATTTAGTTACACCCTGCCTGAGTAGGACTATAGTGTAGATGATGTTTATTTTGTTACACCCTGCCTGAGTAAGACTAGGTGCAGGTTGCTAGAGGAGCTCAAGTATACTCCGTAGAATAATGTAAGGATTAAACAAAGGTAACGGAGCCGGACAAAATATCCCAGAAAACATATATATATATATATATTTTATATATAATACTGTCGTTTTCCGAACTGCTTAATTCTGAAAGTTTCTCCATTGTTTCTTATAAACAAGGAATGAGCAAGTCACTTTTGCAGAAAAATCACTAATAAATTAAACATTTTAAACAAAAAGTGGATATCTAATTCTTACTTAATCAGACAAAAAGGGTACCGTTGTAAATCGAGTATAACCATCTTTTCATGAAGGGACAATTGAAATCCTTACAGTCCATTAAAGATCATTTCAAATATGTTTTAAAAACTGTTAAAATACATGTCAGGGCTCAGGGTCACGTTCTTTCCTATACAGAACACAGAATTCATTTTTTTAATTCGAATTTTATTGATTTATTTTCCATGATATATAAAGTGGTTTCTCGCCATTTTGAATATTAATCTCAAGGCCTTTTTAGATTTTATATATTGAATTCTGCAAGTTGGAAAATTTAAAAATCATAATAAAGAAATTGAGTCACTGCCACATATTTAACATTTATAATCCATTTACCTTTGCCACCTGATGATGTAAATGTGTAAACATAATTCAAACTCAGATTATTTCATCAACCGAATTCATAGTTTGAAATGTTTAAGGTTTTACAAAGATATTGGGATTAAATTATCAGAGTTTGTGACAAAGAATCAATTCCTTCCCTTCTAAATTCAAAAGTTATAGGTCTCCGATGGAGTTAAACTATGTCACTGCATTCAAAGATTTCCAGCTCAGGTTAAATCATTATTTTATATTTTACATGTTTTGTTTTTTAAAGCCGAGAACACGAAATGTTTTGTTTCTTATAAAACTACTGATATGCACAATTGTCCCATTATATACAAATATTTAGACGATTGTTAGAATATTTTGTTTGTGTCATGGTAGCAATCTACTTGAAAATACTATCTGAATAATCTTGATTTTTCCTGTGTTTGTTTCGTTAAAGCATATTTAAACCCATGAAAATATATGCACAAAGCATCCATATATATATATATATATATATTATTAGTTAAAACGGAATTTTACAGGACAAGAACGGAGAAAATGGGAAAAATACACGATTGACTCACAGTCACAACTTCCAAAATTCTAAGATTTCATTCTGATTTTCGAAATTAAAATATTGTACAATAAATAAACGACTTACCAACATAATATCGTTTATCATGAGGACCAGTTGAATCATAATCCCGTCCTCTTCTGTCCTCAACACCCTGGAATATGTCCTCTCGTTCTCTGTCTTGTCTTTCAAATCTCTCTAGTCTCGCTTTTCTCTTCTCTTTCTGAATTAATAAATCAAATAAATTTTCATTTTTTTAATTCAAAAAGTTTTTGAAACGTTATTTTTATAAATATGCTTCAAGTTCAGATATTGGGTAAATTCCAATTTACGAGTCAATATTTGAATCCAGAACGAAAAATCAAAGGACGGAATTAAAGGTGCAAAATCGACTAAAGGGCGCATAAAGGGGGGCAAGGGGGAAGTGCCCCCCTAGAACTTAGAGCTATCACACATATAAAGAGCTTTTTTACATATATTACTATTGTACTTCTACTTTTTTTGCACAGCAGAAACTTTTACAATTCATAATTATTTTCTGGACCTTTGTCCTTTTTTCATCTCATAGAATTTAAATAATTTAATTTAATTTGAATTTTACATTTTCAAAAATGTGTTTTACCATCTCTAGTTTAAATACTAACATAACAATATAATAAAATGTCGATTTTTTTCTGCTAGTTTTGTTTGAAACAGAGATAAAGTAGTACTTGCAAACTACCTTTAAAGTATCTTATACTTATGCCTGATATCTAAGAAGACAAATGATGGCAAAAACTGATGATGGCAAAAAAATTGAAAAAGATATTTGAAATCAAATTAGTTTTCTTTTATGATCCGCCCGTTCAATTCTCCTCAACACTTGTCCATCCCTTCCCTCTTTGTAACTTTCCGTTTACCCCCTTCACAAATTACCAATTTGATCCATTTAAACCATCCTTCCCTTAGTGAAATGTATGATTTTCAGAGGATTTTTGGGCCCGGTATATCAAAGGGGGGGGGGACAACATGGCGGTATGAAGAGAGAGTAATCATTTCCAATGTTTGCATTTGATACTTACTTAATAAATACAATTAAATTGACGGATTAAATACATCTTTAATTTATCACCATTATGATTTAATCGAAAAATATTATTTTCAAGAAAAGAAATTAAAAATTTTAAACCACGCGACATCTGTTCCATGTGCACGCAGTTAGTTGCCAGTGCAGCCATCTTTGTAATCTGGGAAATTTTTAAATTTTGTTCGCATCGTTTTTTGATCAATGATGAAACCCAATGATAATCGATTTTAGATTTACCACACGACAAGCCGAGTTTTACAAGTAAAGGGTAAATTATTGCAGAGATATCATTTACATTATATTTTATTGACATATGATCTGGGAGGAAGGGTCGGGGGGGGGGTAAAATTTATTTGTTGAAATCTGCAACAAAATGATATTTTAATGTTTATATACCTGCTTCTCCTCCTTATATTGTCGACTTGTTGTATAAAAACTTTGATGTCCACTAATCTAAAATATTTCAAATTTTAGAACAAAGTTTTTGCCCGGAATTATTAAAGTTTTAATTTTTTTTAGTTTTTATTAACACTTGGTTTTTTAAGAACTTTTTGAAACAAATATATTTTTTTAATTTAAGTTTTCGATAAAAAAAAACTTTTAATTGATTTTTAATAATTCTTTTGGAAGATTTGGGATGGTTATTTAAAAACATGTAATTTCTCCTTGCAGTAATTTTGTTGTTGCAGATATAATTGTTCGAAACATGATTGTTAGAAACACAATTGCTAGAACATGAACCACAGTTATTTTACGCAAAAAAACAGGGGTATAATTACATCATGGGTGCGTTTAATTCATGAAAATAGTGTTTGACTGGTGCTACTACTATCAGGTCAGAGACTATTCATACTAATTGTATTTCTAGGAATTATATTTTCAGCAATTATATCTGCAGTATATCATTGTCTGGATATTATGTTACCTCAAGTATTCTTGTTTCTCTAGGTAGAATAGACCTTCTCCATCCCAGGGTACTGTGCTCTAGTCTGAAAAAATAGATAAACTTTCTTTTTCAAATTTCTGTTGATCAAAATCTTGCTATTTTTGTAACTTCTTTGTCCTTGGTTTATTTAGAAAACTGAAGAAAATTTATAAAAAACAGCTTAACCATCATTTTCGGCAGGGATTCAAAACAGATATTTTTACGTTTCTCATTCGGAAAATCTCGAGTCGCTTTGCTTTACGTAAACAATCCATTTTAGCCATATTGGGGGGAGGGGGAGAACGAGAGAAATTCTATCATTGTGTTGACCTATAGAAAAAAGAATTTTAAGAATTTTCGATTTGTTAGAATCTCTGAAAGATTTATTTAGAATGCAATCAAAATCCTAGAATGATAAGAATAGCTAACAGACCGAAAATTTACAGAACAAAAAAACCTTTATGAAGAATATTTCAAGAAAGAATTAAGTTTTACAGTTAAGAAAGGGTTGTAGCAACTCCCTCGCAAACAAATTTGAGATGGACCTGAGCCTCCTAGTAGAAAAATGTCCGTTTTCTCGATCAATATCAAAGGGGAACCATGGAATGCACCTATGAAGAGCTATTGGAGGGCATTTTAGGTAGATTGGACAGCAGGAAATGAGAATGCTAGGGGCTTCTATAATAACCATGAATCCAAGAAGAATGGTGAATTGAGCTAAGAAGGAAGTAAGCCCGGAGTTTATATAATATTGTTCTTTATTTTTCTCCAACAAATAAATGTGAGCTAGGGATGCAGAATGAGAAGGGGAGGAGGGGGGGGGGGGGGTTTAAAGGTGAGAGGAGATGGGGAGGGGGTGATCTTTAAAATCTCAAGGATTGGTTGTATTCCAATTTATATTAAGATTTTAAAGTTCAGTTCAATCCAGCTTCCGATTCGAAATTTGGAGTTTAAAATTTAGCATATCTCATGTGAATTGTAAATGCCTTTGTCCCACATTAAATTGTATTGTACATAGTTCTTAATTTGGATTTTTGGTAATTTGAGATTTTTTTAGTATTCCAAATGTATGTTGGTGTCCAAAACTATGTAAAAACAAAATAGTTTTTAAAATCTATTTTATTGACTACATAAGGATGAGTCTCAAGTTTAAAGATGAACAAAAAGACCGCCATGACAGTGCTGGTTTGGTTTGGAAGAGTAAGTGTATATTTTGTAATAGAACCAGCTGGGGTGCAGCTGGTGGCGTAATTGCGGATTAATTAATTGCATTAAACTATGAAGTATCTAAGTATCTATTACGTATGTATACCAAGAACATTGTGCAGTGTGCACAGAGGTCAACTTTTGTGTTGTTAATCTCAGGATAAAGCGCTGTAAATTAAACCATTTTACATATAAGTTTGGACTTCAGATGCTATCAAATTACACAAAATAACATAATCATTGTCATCGGTCTATCAATTTTACGAAACATCCGTTTTTCAGACATTTTTCCTAAAACTCACGTAAATTGGAAATTAGGTTTTAAAGACTTTTTTCTAAGTTCTTCATCTATAGTGAAAGAACAAAACTTTCTAACTTTTCTATTATTTACCCCAGCTTTGCTAAGTGAACTTCTTCTTTTGTTTTAAAATCAAATCGTGAAATCTGAGATTATCAAACAAAAGAGCTTCTATGAAAACACCCTTATAACTTTTCAAAAAGAAGGGGAAATCATGGATGTGTGAAAAATAGTGGTTGGGGTGGAGGGGGGATCGCAGATATATATAAGAACCCAAAGAACAGGGCCGGAGGTGATCCTTGGGAAAATTGAATTAGTCACCTCTTTATTTATTTATTTCTTCATAAAAATCAAATTAAGTTTTAAATGCAGCAAATGACTTGAACCCTGATTTACAAAAATATAAAAAGACGAACAGGAAAAGAATGAATTATTTATCCATTTTGCGGCAGTTCACTTATAGTTACGGTAATTATTATATTTCTTTATTTAGTTCCGTCCAAAACTATTTCTCACAGTTAAAGTTTAAACAACCAATATCTCATCTCTTTTAGTGTTTACAAGGGATATTAATAAGATGGCGGTTACACTGGTAACAAGGAAGCATGTCTTTTTCTAAGAAGTATGTCATGAGGAACTGTAACATGTCATGCCTGTCATATTTGCCGTTTTAATCAGCATGTCAAGTAATAAATAAATCCATAGAATGTCATGTATCTAGCATTTAACAACATGTCAATGACATGTATGTACTTGTCTAAGATACAACATTTTTTCTGCAACTTAAAGCTTTTAATATTGTCTTGTATATTAAGAAGTGGGTGATTTATGTAGCCGAACTGAAATCTATCAATTGACTGCATGTAACGAAAGCTGATCACAAGAAAAAAACTGGTGTTTTCAAGTTCAGAGCTTAAAATACCTAAAACGAATAATGAGGAATGACCCTGGAAAATCCGTGAAAAAATCAAAAAATGTCACGGACTTTAACTGTTCAATAGCAATCTAGAACAATGGGTATATTTAAAGTATAATATAGACAGGAGCTGAAAACATTATAATTGTGGATATCGAGACCAATGCTTGATCTTCTCTCGTTGCTAATTTCAAGACTAATTTAATCTTAAGTTTGTATCACAAAAAGTGTTCATAACTCAACCAATCGACTGGGGTCTGAAGAAACCAGAACCGCCTGTATATGAAAGAAATTCATAACAGTTTCTAACCCTAATTATAATTTCAGGCTCAAAGAAAAGAGTTGGAGAAAAGGAAAAGTCAACAAATGGAATGTGAAGAAAGTGAATAGTTAAAAGAAATCTCCAGGTTCCATCTTGAAACTCCTTCTCATGCCCTTAGGAGTTTAAGGAAGGATGGAGATTATGGAGAAAAAACTACTAGTTTACCGAGGACAGAGGCTTAAAACCTCCGAGGAAGGAGGTTTAGAATCTCCGAGGACGGAAGCTTAGAACCTCCGAGGACGGAGGTCTAGAATCTCCGAGGACGGAGGTATTATAATCTTGCACTCTAGTTGTCTGTCCCTTTAATATCTCAGCTTAACAAATAGATATCTTTATAGATTTGTGTTGAATGTATAACCCATAATTATATGTATATATATATTCCCATATCGCTGTAATTGTGACTCTAACTGTACAATGAGAACCTTGAATATTTAATAAATGCACTTTCTTTTTTAATATCATCTATTCAGGATTATTTAACCAAAACTTTTTGAATTATTAGTAAGGTGAAATAAAGTTTATCAGATATCTGAAATTAAGGGCGAATCTTTGAGATATTTAACAAGGGGTTTAAGTCTTTCAACAGTGATATAAAATAGGATTATCCAGGAGATTTGGTCTGAGACAGTAATATTATTATTTTCATAGTTGCGTGGCGCTTTTATTTAATTCCATCTAATAAAAGTTTATGGCGAGCATTCTAGTGGAATTCAGAGGACCTTGAGAAGATATAATCACATTATTAGGAAAAAGGTTAATTTTTTTGGTACATTTTTGAGAGGAAAGTACAGCTGGTACACGCCAATTAGAGAAGCTGCAGGGAAATTTGAAATTTGGCGCGCTATTTAATGAGTGAACTCTCATTGGTAGAAACTGGCAGGAAGAGAAAAAGCGCGGATAAATCATGGTAAAGTAAAAGAGTCCATATTTGATATTCAGATTAAGCAATCGGGATTAAAAATATTTAATAAGTTCCCAGCTCAGAAAGCATTTTTGTCAACCATTAACTACAAGACTCCCCCCCCCGCCCATCCATGTAATGTCGTCTTTAACTTGAAATCCCCTCTCAGAGACACCAAATCAAATAATTTTTAGCCCCATTTTCTTTGTTCTCCGGTAACGGAGTCTAAACACTTTTATTATTGTGAACAGAATATTTTCATACAAAGAATTAGTGACTTTCGTTAACAATTAATTGCCATTCTTTTCAGAAGTTTTAATATATAAAAACGTCTTAGGACTCCCCGACACTTTTAACCTTCATATCAATTATTAGATCGTAAGAATCTTTTCATTATAGAATTATAAAACTTTGTAATAATTTACATGTTATTATCCATTTCATTTTTTAGGAAATATAGAGTTTCTCTGCATTATCGATTTCGATTTGTGGGTTATCCTGTTGTATTACTGTTCATTATTGAGAATCTTGCTGCTATCCGACAACAATTTTATTTTAAAATTTTGTTTCAAAATTATTCCAGAATACTTGAACAGACCCTTTTATTTTGAAAATATATGTGTTTTAAAATTAAAATTATGTTTAAATTAACATTAAACATTTTTCCTCATTAGAACCATTTTATTCAGAACAGTCATGAATTCCATGAATTGAATATCTTATTTGAAAACAACTGTTTTAACAGCAACTCTTAAGAAAGCAAAAACAAGCGCACTGTAAAAGAAGCAGGAAATGTAACAAAGAAAAAGCAATAAATATAAATAAGAAATAATTGAAATATAAAATATTACCAAATAGAAATAAAAACGTCGAAGGAAGTATAGCAAAAACATTATTTTTAATATAAAAACAGTAAAAACAAATATTCAAAAGCGCTGCGTACATATCGACGTTGTTTTTATTTTTCATTAACCCCCCCCTCTCCCCTCAGTTCCACATGAAAATCAGAGAAATGTTCGTGTTTGCGTGTACGAGCTGAATCGGCAGAAAACACATTAAACAAATAATGTTATTTCCAATATAATAATATAGCATGTTTTCCTTAAGAGAAAGAAAACCTAGTGCAAAACAAGAAAAATGTCTATCTTAAATCTTCCTAAATCTGATTTTTTTGTTCCGAAATAAATCTGCGACCCCCCTCACTTGAATCCTGTATCCGCCCCTGATCACTAAATTGCAAGTTTACGGTGTAGTGCAAATTAACCTAAAGAGGGGGGGGGTATTTATTTCTCCTCCTTTGGCTCCTATTTCTACATCAGCAATAGAAAGCTGAAAAACTTTTATGGATAACTCTCTAAAGTATGAACCTACATGTTTCTAAAACAATATTTTTACAATTTTACAGATTTAAAATTTGTTGATCCAGTTCCAGCTATTTTTCCACCTGAAAGGACTATTATAAGAGATAACTATTTATTTTCAACTTTTCCATATTTGCTAGAATATATAGATTTTATGAAGAAGGGTTTCTCAATGACTTGATATGTACCTCAGGGTTTATTTTGGTTTTAAGCTCACACATACACTGTATTGAGTCCAGGTGTGTTTCACAATGTATAAATGCAATGAATACAATCGAAGAAAATATTCCATATTTCTTCATTTTACTAATAGTCATGCAAGCAAGCTATGATTTGCATGCAGGTTGGAAATCGCAGTGCTCAGTACCTATTTTCAAGGCCATAATTAAGCAGGTTAGATTTGAATATTAAAATCATGTAGATATATTTTATGACGAATAATCGATCAAAATAAAAAAGTAAGGGAAAAATTATAATTGGATAATTCGTAAAAAAAGAAGGTGCAATTAATGAACTTATATTTTACATTATCATTGTTTTTGTATGCATATTTAAAAAAATAAACTTCAAATGAATAGTTCACTTCAAAAAATACATAATTTCAAAAATTTTGTAATTTGTATACTATTGTCAAATTTTAGCATTTTGTCCAGATTTAATCAGATGAGCTGTTTATGATAAAATATCAATTATTAACTCTTTTTAAAAATTTTATGATTACTTAATTTTTATCTGAACACCTACGTTAACTTTGTCATACTTGCCAATATATTGTCAAATCAGAACATTTTGTCAAGATTTAATCAGATGATTTTATATCTGAACACCTTTATACGTTAACCTTGTGATACTTGACAACTATTTAAAAATCTTCGCATTTAAAGGATTTCCTAATTTCCAGCAAAGACTTGATTATTGTTATAAAATGTGTCGGAGACATCTTTGAGCAACAAGATATGCTTAATTGTGTTTCAGGATATTCAAGGTTATCATGTATTTTTTTAATAGTTTAATAAATACTTTCTTTAATCTATACCTCCATCCGCTTCGTCCGTGCTCCATTTTGGTTGGATTAGTCTTATCTCCAGTCGACGTTCAGCTCCATTTATAATTTATCACTTTGATCCATTCTCTTACCAGTGTTTGGTTTCACTTTTTCTCGCAAGTGTTTATTTTGACTAAATATGCGTCCTCTATATGATATCCTTGAACTTTTAGATCTTCAAGATCTTTCTCAAAATCTTCTTTGAGCTCCTAGATCTTCTTAGAGCTCCTAGATATTCTTAGAGCTTCTAGATCTTCTTAGAGCTCCTAGATCTTCTTAGAGCTCCTAGATCTTCTTAGAGCTCCTTGATCTTCTTTGTGCTCCTAGATCTTCTGAGAGCTTCTAGATATTCTTGGAGCTCCTAGATATTCTCTGAAGTCCTGAAGATCTCCTAGATTTCACCTAGATCTCCGAGATCTTCTCTACCCTCCTAGATCTCCTTTAAGTTTAATATTCAATTCTAAATTCTATTCTAGAAATGAAAGGAAGCTGTGCAATAAAATCAAAAATGTTTTTAGTCATTACAAAATATAATTGTTTTCTGAATTAATTTTAGATAAAGATAAACAAGAATTTTTGGTTCGTTCAAATTGTTAAGTTTTCATACAATCTTGCTGAAAAGAAAAACGTAAAGAAAGTCGTCGTTCTTGTATTGATAAACTCGCCGACCACTGCACGATAAAGATTAAACTTAAAACAAAAACTTGCAATCTGAACATTTTAACTAAAGAATGCGCAATAAATTTAAAATTCTGCATTTTGATGTTCTTTGTAAAGTCAAGATTGCAATTCTTCCTGTAGCGCACAAATCAATCTTGTCAAAAAAAAATGGGGGTTGTCAAAATATCCTACAATTTATAATTTTATCATAATCGCACAGACGGGCCGGGGGGAGGGGGTAATAATTTTGCTAAATATGCCTCCATTTAGCTAAATGTTACGTCAGAGGCGACCACTTCTTTTGCGGATTTATTGAATGGTTGATTTAAAAATATTTAAATTTTGTTAAAGCAAAATTTTTAAAATTCGACCGGGCATACACCTTTAAGCATTAGCAATCAGTACCATAAAAAAATTGACTTGATTTTCAGCCGTTTTAACGTTAAAAAGTAAATATTACAAACAAACAGATTAACATACAACCCAAATATATGTATTAGCGGGCCCAAGAAAATTGTTATTTCACAATTTTTAAAGCTAGATAACCCCTTGGAGTAAAGGAATATAAATGTGAAAAACATGTAGTTTTAAGTAAAAACAATTTAGATTTGGGAAATTGACCCCCCCCCACCCGGACCCGGCCTTAATTAAAAACTTTAAAATTTTTAACTCCTGGTTTTTCACGTGTTCAGCCAGCATTTCAAGATTGATATTCATTTATTTAATTGTAAAAATTATAAATATTTTATTTACCACAGTAATTTTTTAAAAACATTTTTCAAATTTTAGTCGGACCCATAGTACTGTCGATCAGAAAGACGACTGTTAAACTCAAATCTTGATTTTGAATTATTGAAGATCATAAAACACAGCAATTGTCCAGTGTACACTACACAGACCCTTTTCTTAATAATAATGAGTTGATTTCCAAGCTACTGATAAAAATATTTGCTTTGCAACAACATCAAATTTACATAAATAACATTGCTGAAAGGGACTGTCAGCGTAATTTACATAAATAACATTGCTGAAAAGGACTGTCAGCGTAATTTACATAAATAACATTGCTGAAAGGGACTGTCAGCGTAATTTACATAAATAACATTGCTGAAAGGGACTGTCAGCGTAATTTACATAAATAGCATTGCTGAAAGGGACTGTCAGCGTAATTTCCATAAATAACATTGCTGAAAGGGACTGTCAGCGTAATTTACATAAATAACATTGCTGAAAGGCGCTGTCAGCGTAATTTTAAGTGAACCTCTAAGCAAAGATGAAACCCTCGGAACCTGAATCTGATGAAAAATGTGGAAGATACCATCTTTTTCTCGCCCAAAAGTGTTTAATTCAGATAATTCATCCATTGCATCTTATAACCAAGAATTTCGCAGATCTTGATAGACAAAGTGAATTGGGCGTTACTATCTTTACATGGAGGAGCACTTGAAACTACGATTATAGACTCTTTTAATGTCGTCCTCCTTATCCACAGTTTTATTACTCCTACTGTACTTTAAATTTATCAAGACGCCGAATTTAAAGAATTTGAACGGCGCCTTAAATTCAAGCCGCGGCTCAAATATGGTTGGTTTCACTTAAAATTGTCCTCAATGTTTCAAGATTTAAGCCGGCGCTCAATTGAAAATGGTTTTGGCGGATTTAAGACGCGGCTCAAATAAATTAGATTCGGACAAATGTTTATTTAATCATTATTATATATAAAGAAATTATTTTTACCAGATAAAAATGAAGTAAATGTTTTGGGAAGAAATTGCATGATCATTTTACGTTTCTTGTTTCTTTTTGTTTAAAACAACTCATTGATTTATAATTGTGCATTCATTTTTCTTCTCAAAACTTAATGCATGGTTCTGTTTTCAAAATAATATAAATAAATGGACATAGATAAAATATAAGATATGATAAAAGACAAACTTTCAACTGTTATATTTATAAAAAGTACTAAACATCTATATTCTATATTCAGTGGGTAAAACTGGGTTTAAGGTACAGTTTCATTTACTTTTGGACCAGGACCTCTAATTAAACAAAAAAAATCATTCTTTAGAAAAAAATAAAATCTGGAGTCTGGATGAAATACAAAATCTTCTTATATCTCAGGAATTTAGATTTGAACCTAAGAGAGTGAGAGAGAGATCCGAGGAAGTTTAATTCCGCTCGTCTTCCGTTCAAGTCTCTGAGCGGAGAGAGGGAAACTGTGCTTGAATTGTTCACTGGACAATGGCGCGTGTTCTACTGACAACTACCGGTCAAATATAAGGATTTCCCTCAACCATATTGCGCGCAGCCAGGAACTTATTTTAATAATTTGGAGGAGTTGGGAGGAGGAGGAGGCGGAGGAGGTGGAGCACGGAGGATAAGGAGGAGGAGGTATGAGGATAAGGAATGTATAATAAATCTATACTAGCTTTGGAACCCAGCGCTGCTGAGGTAACTAAAAGTTACTCCCGCCGTTTACCCGCACTTGAACGATTTTACCGGGAAACCAAAAGTTCGCCATTAAATCCACCCACTCAGCTTAGAATGTCAAAACCAGGCTAGGCCCATTCCCGTGGGTCTTCCGAGTTCTCAAATCAAAATTTGAGGCAAAACGGTCAAGGGGTTTCGTTGTTGTGATCGGACAAACAAACAGAGATTACAACTTTATATATATAGATATCGACAAAATTAAACTTCTCTCGTAGGAATGAATCTGGAAAGATTGGAAGGAAAAAGAAGTTTGTCTGTTAATAGTTTGTATCTAAAAAGACTGGACTGTGTCTGGAAAGACTAGACTTTATATTTAAGGACTGGACTGTATCTCGAAAGACAAGACTTTATCTTGAAGGACTGGACTGTATCTGGATAGACTAGACTTTATATTTAAGGACTGGACTTTATCTGGATAGACTAGACTTTATATTTAAGGACTGGACTGTATCTCGAAAGACAAGACTTTATCTTGAAGAACTGGACTTTATCTGGAAGGACTGGACTGCATATCTTGATGGAGGACTGGAATATATCTTGAAGGACTGGACTATATCTGAAAGGAATGGACTGTCTCAGCATAAGGACTGGACTATGCCTTGAAGGACTGTGCTGTATCTTGAAGGACTGGACTATGCCTTAAAGGACTGTGCTGTATCGTAAAGGACTGGACTATGCCTTGAAGGACTGTGCTGTATCTTAAAGGACTGGACTATGCCTTGAAGGACTCTGCTGTATCTTGAAGGACTGGACTATGCCTTGAAGGAATGTGCTGTATCTTGAAGGACTGTGCTGTATCTTGAAGGACTGTGCTGTATCTTGAAGGACTGTGCTGTATCTTGAAGGACTGTTTGGATGTGAAAACCAAATTAGGCAATAAATAGAATAATGCTTCTTCCGGTAATAAAGCAAGTAGATCCAAGTTGGTGCTAGGGGCGGTGAAATCCGGTCAAATTAAATATATTCTAGACTTAATTCAATACTTCCGAACATGGACAGTAGACACCAGTAGAATTTACTATAGAATTGACATAACTTTTAATCTTGGAAAAGGAATTACAACGTGTAACTTTAAGTACTTGGCACATTCTACATTCAATCTTCGTTTGTACTTTTTGAAACAATTCTGTTCCAACAAATATCTTTCCGTTTTATGATTTTCCAATTGCCTTTTCCTGTTCTTTACTGTTAAGGTGGTTAACGATGATTTAGTGAATATTTATATTTAACGATGTTGATTACTAACGAGGGTTTAATTAAAGGGATTTTAACCCTAATTTCAAGTGAGTTTTCTTCCTAAGATGCCAATGCACGAATCACAATGGTACAATTAAAACCTTAATCCTAGGTTTATAAGGTGTCATTGTGATAAGTCCTATATGTGTTTTTGCAGTAGAAATGCGCAAGTCACTTTGGTAGAGAACCCATAATTGAAAATAATCAGTTTACAAAATTATAAAAACTATTATCTAATTCATACTTGATCAAACAACGCTTTTAATGGTACCATTGTAAATCGGGCATTGTCATCTTTGCATGGAGTGTCACTTGAAATTACACTTACAGCTAATTAAAAGGCTAATCTTAACTTAAATATTTTAGAATACGCTCGATCCCGATCGTTAATATAATGATGATCGTTAACGAGAACATTGGGTTGTTTATCCAAAAATCCAAATCATACTTTTTGCATGAGCTTTCCACTTTTGAAGAACGGGGTCAACTGCGTCCATCCGTTAGCAAAATGTACGAAGTAAAGTGTCACTTTATTTTCATGTTAATTGAGACACCCTGTAGATAGATTGAGTTCAAAAATGAAAATATCAAGTTCTATGGAACTGTTATTAGATAAGTTATTTTTTAAACAAGTAAACTTTTTACAATTAAAACATTTTTACTCATAGAACTGCATTTAAGAGAATATAAACCAATCCATTGTACTCTTCATGGTTAACACATTGCCAATTATACTAGAGTTAATAGTACTTATTTTCAAGAATTTATTACGGGTTAGTAATAAACAATTTGTTTAAAATGAGTCAACGTTGATCAATTTTGAAACAGTTCTGACTTCTGAGGCCGAATTTAAAGAATTTGAGCCGCGTCTCAAATTTGAGAGGTGGCTCAAACATGGTTGGTTCACTTGAAATTGTATTCAGTGTTTCGAGATTTGAACCGGCGCTCAATTGGAACCGGTTTTTGGCGGTTCAGCGACGCGGTTTAAATTCTTTTAATTCGGCCTCTGGTTAGTTAAGTTTTCAACATTGTAAAGTTTAGAAAACTATTTATATTGCATGGTTGTAACTGAATTTATTACAGACCATACAGGGTTACCCACAAAACATGAGACTGTAAAGACGACCTAAACTCTAAAAATATGACGACCCTAGGGTTAAACAAGTCTTCTGTCTTATATTAGATTATCAAATGATTTGCAAAGAAATAAACTAATTTATTACAGCTGTAAAGAATCATAAATATAAAGAAACAGAGTGTAAATTCCGTACAGTCGTCTTTGAAGCCTCATCCTTTGTGGGTAACCCTGTACATGTTAATTCAAAGAAATAAAATATCAAATTCTAGGTAAATCCTATTACGGAGAAATTTTTCTTTTAAAGTTAACATTTTTACATTTAAACATCTTATAGTCTGATCATGTATCACTCATGCAAACTGTGAACCAAATCCACCGTGTTCCAAAGGTATTGCACACATTGCAATAAATTGGAGGTACGGCACCGGACAAAACGTTTTGTGTTGAAATAGTTTTAAAATGGCGTCCAGCTGTTTTGAAAAATGGCGCCCACCAGGGAAATTATTAAACTTTATTGATCATGTGAAGAAATCATTACTTAACAAATGAGATTTCTTTTTAGATTTTTTTGTCTAGAGGAGGGTCGGGGGGGGGGGGNTTTTTTATGAAATAATTTTCTATTAAAAGAAATTCTCTTTATTTCTTCCGTACTTTTTCCAAGAAAATTGAGAGTTTAGTGACGAAATTTAAATCGTCTTCGTTTTATAAAAATTAATTAAGAAAAAGAAACCGGATACTAAATTTTACACCGGCTGAAAGTATTTCCAAAATGTGGTCTACGAACTTTTATCTTAAAAAATGAAGGAGACATTTAACATAAGATAGTTAAGGCTTAGGTAAGAAATGAGTAGGTTTCAGGTTAGGGATGAAAAGGGTTCAAGTTAGGAATGAGTAGCTTAAGAGATGAGAAGGGTTCAGGATAGAGATGAGTAGGGTCCAGGTGAGGGATGAGTGGGGTTTAGGTTAGGGATGAAAAGGGTTCAGGTTAGGAAGGAGTAGGGTTCCGGTTAGAGATGAGAAAGGTTAAGGTTAGAGATGAGTAGGGTCCAGGTGAGGGTTGAGTAGGGTTCAGGTTAGAGATGAGTAGGGTTCAGGTTGGGGATGAAAAGGGTCCAGGTTATAGATGAGTAGGGTTCAGGTTAGAGATTAGAAGGGTTCAGGTTAGAGATGAGTAGGGTATAGGATAGAGATGAGTAGGGTTCAGGTTAAGGATGAGTAGGGTTCATGTTAGAGATGAGTAGGGTACAGGTTAGAGATTAGAAGGGTTCAGGTTAGAGATGAGTAGGGTTCAGGTTAGAGATGAGTAGGGTATAGGTTAGAGATGAGTAGGGTTCAGGTTAGGGATGAGTAGGGTTCATGTTAGAGATGAGTAGGGTTCAGGTTAGTCGAGATGAGAAGGGTTCAGGTTATAGAAGAATTGGATTCAGGTTTGAGAAGAGTAGGATTCAGGTTAGGAATGAGTAGGGTTCAGGCTACGGATGAGTAGGATTCAGGTTAGAGATGAGAAGGGTTCAGGTTAGAGATGAGTAGGGTTCAGGTTAGAGATGAGAAGGGTTCAGGTCAGGGATGAGTAGGGCTCAGATTAGAGATGAGTAGGGTTCAGGTGAGGGATGGGTAGGGTTCAAGTTAGGGATGAAAGGATTCAAGTTAGGGATGGAAGGGTTCAGGTTAGAGATGATTAGGGTTCAGGTTAGAGATGAGTAGGGTTCAAGTTAGAGATGATTAGGGTTTAGGTTAGAGATGAGTAAAGTTCAGGTTAGAGATGAGTAGGGTTCAGGTTAGAGATGATTAGGGTTCAGGTTAGAGATGAGTAGGGTTCAAGTTAGGGATGGAAGGGTTCAGGTTAGAGATGATTAGGGTTCAGGTTAGAGATGAGTAGGGTTCATGTTAGAGATGAGTAGGGTTCAGGTTAGAGATGAGTAAAGTTCAGGTTAGAGATGAGTAGGGTTCAGGTTAGAGATGATTAGGGTTCAGGTTAGAGATGAGTAGGGTTCAAGTTAGAGATGAGTAGGGTTCAGGTTAGAGATGAGTAGGGTTCAAGTTAGAGATGAATATGGTTTATGTTAGAGATGATTAGGGTTCAGGTTAGAGATAAGTAAAGTTCAAGTTAGAGATGAATATGGTTTATGTTAGAGATGATTAGGGTTCAGGTTAGAGATAAGTAAAGTTCAAGTTAGAGATGAATATGGTTTATGTTAGAGATGATTAGGGTTCAGGTTAGAGATGTTCTCGAAAGTATATAGCTCATGTCAGCAAAAACTCAGACTCGCAAAATAATTTGGAGATCGAGAACTGAATCCTATTTTTTGGTTACTAAGGTTACAGTTGAAAGACGAGCTCTCCGGGATCAATTTACCTTGTAAAGTCGATCAAAGTTCGGTTGATGAATTCCATGAAGACATCAACCACGTGAGTCAACACCAGGATGATGATTCATT